TGTGTGTGTGTGTGTGTGTGTGTGTGTGTGTGTGTGTGTGTGTGTGTGTATGTGTGTATGTGTGTGTGTTTATAGATAACATAGTAAGACTACAAGTTGTCCTGTAATGAGCACAAAGTGTCACTATCGTATTTATATTTTTAACGGTAAAATTTACAATGTGTGCGTCTGTGTGTGTGTTTGTATGTGTTTATACATAATATAGTATATCTACACTCGACAAGAGCACTATGCATCCTATTATAAATTAATTTTCTTGTTGATATTAGCGTTAACATAGAAATCTGTCTTAGATCATATTGCTTTGTTCATTTTACTACCTTCTACACCCCACACCCCACACCCCTTGTGATGCAAGGGTATACTAAGTTTGTGCGGCTGTATGCAACATCCAGAAGTATTTGAAGAAGACGTGTACCCTTCATTTTCTGAGCCGATTTAACCTTGTCCGTCTGTCTCTTCATCCTCATTTCTTGTGTTCAACCTACAGGCTACACATTTTCCGATATTGATCGGTCATTCGAAATTTTAAACAAATTTACAAAGTTTCACATTTCATTTTTAATTATTGTAATTTCCGAGCTTTATTCTGCTCAATAAGTATTTCATTGAATCTTTCTGATATATTTTTCTTAATTTTTTCTTTTCCCACACCAAAATGATTAAACTTGCACGCATATGGTAAACTTTTTCGATATTTTCCACTTCAAGACTCGCGTAAACAATCCCTAAATCTATATATTTTAAAGGTATAAAATTATATATTTCTCATTATAACAAAAGAAAGTGAACAAATTATATTTGGTCGTGAACGACTCTTTTATACCTGCCACCATGATCGTAAAACAAAAAAAAGAACTAAATGGAAGAATAAGAACTGTAGTCCATCATTTTGAGTGGGCGCGGCTGAGTTTTTCTATTTTCAGAATAAAAGTAGAAATTTGTATGGTTTATGTGCCGTACTTTATGAGTGACAAGCGGAATACACGGTACGCAAAGGTGTTCACAGTTTTTATTACTTAAGCGTATGGGCTTTATAGGCGTGTTCTCTAAAAAGGCTTTTTGAAAGTTTGCAGACAGACACTATCCAGTTGGATAGCTAAATGGACGGACACGCTTAGGCACATTCCAAATTTGAAAATGAAAATTGAAAATAAAAATGTATACATTGTGCGGGGTTTTTGAAGCTTGCTGCTATGTGTCACAAACATTTTGGAAAAAAATGAAATTTGATTTCCATTTTTGCAGAGGTACTACATCATCACCCATAGAATATATAGATTCAAATTTTTGTAGATTTTTCTGCTGCAGTGCAATCAGCGAAAACCCAATTTTTTTGTTTTTCTTTTATTACAGAGGTATCTCAGATTACGTGGTACTATGGACGTATCCTCCAACCGATTTGGACCGTTTGCAATATCAAGGTGCGTGCAGGATCTTTCAATGTTTCTATCGAATTTGAAGCCAATAGCTTTATTTTTGCTTCCATGTTTTCAACAGACATTACACGGACTAACAGACGGACATACTTAAATTGATTCAGAATTTGATGATGATCAAGACTATATAACACTTTGTGGGGTCTCTTGTGGGGTGATGCTGGCAAAGGTTTTGACAAAACGAACATACCTTTCATCCTTCGATGATAGTTATAAAAATATTCCAGAAAAAACATTTCCTAAAAATTTTGTTAATAAATTTTCTTTTTCTTCTTCGTCTTCTTCTTGAGTACGAATCAGCAAAAGATGACTCGCGACGTTGCAATAGAAAGGCTTCAGCATGAATATAATCCAACGGAAGTTAAAGTATATTACGTTTGTAACGCCCCCAAGATAGTCGTCTTTTGTTTGTAGAGTTTTTGGGCCCAGAAACATTCAAGCAGGTGCCAAACACCTTACCTTTACCTTAGTAGCTCACATATTATTGCACTTTATTACGAAAAATTTGTTGCTCCGAAATTTGAGGTAATAATCTCTGAGAATCATATAATTATTGCGGATAAAAATGATTTCAATGATGCTTGCCTAGCGTTACAAATAAATCAAAATATCCATAGATTCTGATGATCAATGTTCACCAAGCTCTTACTTCTCTCTTCGTGAATTACATACGACGGTTATAAGTCATATTTTTTGTATTACATATATTGGTACATATATTGTTTATCAAACATTTGTCACTTCCTTTATAGATGGGATGAAAAAAACGGGGAAAATTGCTTTTACCCTGAACAGACAGACAGACATGCAACCATTAATTTGCCCCCTTGGATAGATAGAGATAGATGGTTGACATTGGCAGGTAATAATAAAAATTAAAAACTTACTAAACATCAGCTATGAACGAATTGAATTAGTCCCGAATCTTAACGATCAATTTTATGATGATGATGCATTCGTTATTCGTCCCACATCCAGCCCAGTCGCCCAATCAAGCAGGAACAAAGATGAGTCTTTGCACATTAAACAAACTATTGGCGAATGTTTTCCTCTTTTGTTTTATTCTTTTTAAACTTTAATTATATATGTGTATATGTGCATATGTCGCTATTGAGTTTTGTTTTGATTTTTCAAAACTCTTTTTTTTTTCATTGCCATACAAACGTGCACGCGCAATTATACACGCTCTCTCCCTTTCTCTCTCTCTCTCTGTCTCTACTAATGTTTAGAAAGGTCGCTGCTACTGCTCTAGATTGCAATTTCTTTTTCTTTTTTTTAATCTTTTATTTTACGTTTCATAACTTTATCGATTTATATATAAAAGAGAAACAATTAAAAACAATTACAATTTAAAAAAAAAACAATTTTTTTAATTTTTAATTAAAAAGATTTAACTAACATTTTGATTGAATTGATTTTTTTTGTAATTTTTATACACGCATTGCAATCACTTTGACTTCTTATATACGAAGAAAGTTCGCTTAAGAAAATATTGATTTTATGTTTTTTCTCATCACTAGAAATTAATTTAAGATTTATCATTAAAAAAAATATTAAATAAATTTTTATAAATATATGTAAATTTTTTTTTTAAATTATTAAAAGAAATTTCTTTTAATTTTAATCTAATTTATTTATTCATTTGGATTTTTTGTTTTATTATTATTATTTTTTTTTTATTTTTGCTTTGCTCCACGGATGATGGGTAAACGATAACTGCAAAGGAAACCCCTTTGGTCAATACAAAAAGCGGTTCAGTGAGGCAATATTTTTCCAAAAAGTTTTCATTACAATTGCCTGCTTTTTCGTTTATGCAGGTGGTTGAAAAGCTTTCCAAGTACTAAAAGAGCTTTCAGAGCACAACACTTTATGACACTTTCTTTGAATATTAACGGTTGTGTTTTTTTTTTTAGACTACGGTATTCTTTATACAGTCAACACCGATGAAATGTAGGATGTTTCGATCCGAATCTAATTATCATGTTTAACCTTAAAATGCCGCTATCCTATTACCTGATAGCTATGAGCAGAAATATTCTTATGGCAAGACGCATACCGGCTTAGAGCTGTTTGCTCGTTCTCCGCTCTACTTTTTGATAAATGTTTCGAACCTATTACGACTAGGAATCTTTTTTCTTGAAATTTCGAGATTCGGAGGAGACTACTTTTGTCTAATGAATCTCTGCTGGAAGGCTGTAAACTATATTTTAACCTAAACAACTATGAAAGAAGAAAACAAATGAGTAGAAAAGAAACTAGGAGGGCAAGCTTGCCGTACGCGGTGGTTTAATTGGTATTTCGGTACGTAAATACCTTTGAAACCGTCAGGTTTACCGTACTAATACAATTGATACCGTGAAACTGTTAACATTTACCGAAATAACTCCGTTATGTTTATCATACAACCTGTAACAGGATATGCTTAAAGTTCAATGTACAGTCACCCTGGGTACTTTTTTGTACGCGATCAATAGGAAACGAAAACCCAATTCTCCTATTCACGAGAGGATCAGCGAGACATCTCTTATTACAGTAAACAATCTTTGCTGTCCTTGCCCTTAATAGGGAATATGTTTGTTTAGACCAGATCATCATGGATCTGGAACAACAAGTAGATCAAATGGAAGGCAAGTATTGCTCTGAAACAATAAACGCATTCACTTTCCAATTGACTGTCGCGGAACAACTAGAGAAAGAGTTATACTCGCGTACGGCTTTTATAATTGTCGGCTCACGACAATTGCTTTGCTGTTACGAAATTACTGACACATGTCTGAGAGGATTATTTGCTGGGAAATATCTCACGAAAATGTTATGCATGTTAAGCATGTCTCCCCACTTTTGTGTTATGCTGTTGTCAAGTGAATTTAGGAAAGTTTCCACGACTATAATCTGTAGTCTTACTCATACTTGCCGTACAAATTTCAGTAAATGTTCTCATTTCAGTTTTTTTATTATCTCTCGTATTTATCTTACGGTTTTTAATATGGTTTATTTATATCGGACCCCTCGGGATAGTATTTAATGAGTGTGCTGCACAAATGCCGCTAGCGACAGGTCCCATCACATATATATAGATAAATATACTTCCCCAAAAATAAAGTGAGAACATTTTAGGAAAAATTTTCCAAGATATGTGAACACGCGGTGGAAAAAAGGAAATCTTTGCCCATCGTTTATAAATGCTCCAAAATTACCCTCATACCGATTGCGAACATCGCTAATTCTATTGAAATATCGGTAATTTAACCCGAGCAAATATTGCGCCTAAATACACGATATGCAAATCATCTCGAAAACTGGTATATGCAATTTTTTGTTTTTAATATAACAGCTCCAAAATGAGTGAAAAGGGAAAGATTTGATATTATATACGAGATCGCTGATTGCTCTTGCTATTAACATATATTCCCTATGATAGACATTAGAAGTAAAACAACTTTTTTAAGGGAAAACCGTCAAAGTTTGAATTTATATTCCCCGATATGTTTCGTAGCATGAACAATATCTTGTATATCTCTCATGATTCTCATATATTTACACAAATATTTTATTAGCTAATAATTTTTAAATGCAACGATCCAATTTTTATTATAAATAATATTTTTTTTATATAACATAGCTTTTGTTTTTGAATTCAATATAAAAAATCAAAAAAGAATGACTTGAAAAGTTTGTTCAGTTCATCACATTTTGGCTCTTTTTAAAAATAGTTTTTATCTTGTAACTTTTAGTGTGCAATGAAAATAATTTATTAAAAGTTAGCTTCTTTTTGCCTTTTAAAAAAAGGTTGAATTTAGAAGATCTTTTCAGATTATTTCATATCATTATTTTGCTAGGTTTTCTTTTTCTTAATATCACCCAACAAATACTGCATGGTAAACAAACGTACAATGCGGGCCAAATTTTCAGTTGTTACAAAATCAATAACCGATTCGTTATCTTCGATGGTATGCCAGAATGGTGGGAACGGTAATGGTATTATGTGTAGGATAGGTACACCACGTTTTAAAAACGGCGTGTGGTCATCTTCTAGATAAGCCGTTCGCAACGTTTGCGCTTGAAAATAACGCTGAGGTTGTAGTTGACTGATACCGCTATTAGCATATGCTGAAAATCCCGCCTTTATCAAACGTTCCTCTAGCGACAACAAATGCGAATACCAGGACTCTGTGTTGCTAAAGAAATTATAAAAGGTCGGATCAGGGGAACCTAACAAGTCCAAAAGCATTAATATATCAATTTTATCGAGAAAGCCTTCAGTTTCCCATTTCCGTGCGAGGCGCCGCGAACCGTATAGAGAGTCTTCCGGCAACCATTCCTCGAAAGCCTCCTCACCATCAAAAAATATCATCATCAAACTGAGAGACGTATTGCGGAAAGCAGCTAAATGAACTTTCAGGACTTTTGCTAAATTCAAAAGCATTGCACAAGGCACCGCCGAATCGGTGGCTCCCACAAATTGCAAATCTCCCATGTATTTGCTGTCATAGTGACAGCTTAATATTAAGTACCGATCAGCCTCTGGGTTTAACGAAGCAATAATGTTTTGAAATTGCAATTGTCCTAAAATCGGCACTGTATCATGAAATTTGTGCAATTCTACCGACCAGCCGAGATCGCGAAGGCTTCTGACGATATATTGGCGAACCTGTTTATGGCCATTAGTGCCAACCACACGAGGTATAAGTATTTGTTTGGCGGCTTCCTTTAAATGTGAAATATCGGATAGAGAGTTAAAGGTGTTGAACTCGTCGTCTGACAGCTCTTCGGTATGATATGGAACCTGACGACGACTTACTAAACAGCTATCAGTATTTGCCGCTTTAGTAAAAGAACGTAACAAAAGGAATATTAAATACGACGTGACATGACAGGACATTCTCTTCATTTTACACGAAATGAATTAACTCTTTCCGTTCGGTTTTGTGGCTGCATTGAAAATGTTAACAAGTGGTTGAGTTTTGAGCGCACTCTATGCTTTATGGTTACTTATTTAATAAAAACGTTTTACATGTAACACATGTTTATATATTATTTCTTTTGCATTAAATTATCTAAATAACTCTTATATTCTTGAAAAATCACAGTATTTTGCACATTATAAACAATAATATTATACTTTTCTCAAAAAAATTTCGATCGCAAACTGCTTAAAAGCGAAATTCAGCTGTTTTTGGAGGTAATGCTTATAGGAATTGCTTTGCTTAACGCTTTATTTATTTTCAGAATAAAAATACGCGCAATCAGCTGTTTAGCAATATTCGGTAAACAACATGAATGCGTCGTATGCTATCGGAGAAGTTGAAAAGGAAACAGGATTACTTTTAAATTTAAGTCAGAAATCCAATATATTTGTAGGTAAGTAATATATTTTATACATATTAATATGAAGTGTAAATGTTTATTCGCTTTTGTACCAGGAGGTGATCAAACACCCACTCCCACAAGCTTAATAAAAAATTGCGAAGAAGTAGGATTATTTGAAGATTTACAACATGTTAATCCGTTCGAAGAAACTTTCCGTAGAGCTTGCGAACAGAGCGTCTATCAAAGTCCTACCATCCACTCGAACAGTGCATCATTAAACACCGACGAAGATTCGTTACATACGCCACAGGTGTTTCCACAATTTGATATTGCAGCTGAGGTTGGCATATGCCACGATGTAGAAAATATAGCTAAACAAACACTGGACACACCTGTGTTATGCAAGGATGTCGAAGCAACGAAGCAAATCTCAGCCGAAACAAATGGACCAACGACAGAAAAGGAGCGGAATGATATGGAAATAATCAACTGCGTAGCTGAAAAAGCCATTACATCTCAAGTAATACCGAGTATTAGTAGTTTTATGCCACCAGTTATACAATTGCAGCCGCAAGTAATAACGTTAACAATTCCTGCCAGTAACACACAAATTTCTCAAGAAAACACATTAGTGGCAGAAAATATCAAATCCAGGCCATTACTATTACCGAAGCTAACAGAAAATACTCGAGTGCACACTGCCGAATCTGTAAATGTCTCCGCGACAACAATACAATGCAGAACTGCAATAGAAAGCATCAGGAGTTCGTCGTCATCAGTTAATGAGCCTAGCAGTGCCAGCTTGACGCCTACATCTCAGTTACCTATCAAAGAGCGTCTTAAAGCTATTTTAAACCAAAATAGCAAAGCTCATCAAGTGTCCGAGTGGTCGTCGATTAATCATAAATTTCATTTAAACAAAAGTAAATACAAGCTATCAAAAGCCTGCTCTTCAAACGATGCTATGGAACGTAGACGGGCAGCCTCTTCACGTTATCGTCATAAAATGCGTGATGAACACAAAGAATTAATTAAACGCAATTGCGAACTGAAAACGGAAAATGAGAAATTAAAACAACGCATTAAACATCTGGAAATGGAAATGAGAAAACTGCAACAATCCAACACTGAACAACCACTTAAAAGTAAAATTATCATTTTTTTCCGTTCCACTTATATGAACTGGTTTTCTATGTTTGCAGCGTCCAATTCCTCTTTACCCGCGCAACTGCATATACCGGCCTCTACCATACACTTGCTAATGAATATACCGAAGGTTCAAGTTTCTCTATGTCAGAATGCAATTCTTCATCCGCAAAACTAGTAATGTCGTCCGTCGTTTCGTATATTCCGTCGCTCGCTTCAAACCAAGAAAATAAAAAACACTGCGTGATTGATCCAAATCATTATGTTAAATTTGTCGACCATTAACAGACAGAATGTTCGTCCGCATAGATGAATGTTACTTTACGGAGACTTCGTATTTATTGAATATAAAAAATTTATATCGTTGTAATTACTTCTTTGGATTTATTGAACTTAGCAGGAAGCTCTTGTAATGATCACATCCAAGTGCCTTTATGTTCAGTCTTTCGGCTATAAACACAATGAAGCTGTGTTTACATAACACAAGCCTCGCTTGCTTGCCTTTTCATGGCAGTAATAGCGTTAACTAGATTTCATTTTCGAGTTTTTTTGCTATACGTATACACAATAGGTGCGAGAAACGCTCTCTTTTAGCTGTCAAATTACGTGAAAACTAAATAACTTTAGCTTAAGCAAAATAGAGAGCAGATGGTAATCAGCAATTCTATTTAATCGTATGAGCAAATTTGCTGGTGATTGTTGCTGATCGCGTTCTCTGGCAATCCACCTTGTGCGGCTACCAGGTCATTGCGGCTCTTGTTTAAATAAAAAAGTTAATTTCTATGATGGTGGGACAGATTTATCAATCAAACCCATTCCAAAAGAATCAATACGAACAAAAGGAAAGCTTATCTTTCAATAATTAAACAATGAATATAAAGAAGTTGAGAGAAAGCACTCTACAGACTCGTAATAAAATACTAGATTTACGATAATTAATTCGCTTCATTAAAAAAATGCGTTCCCCTTTTGAATTAACTGCAACTTTCTTTATTATATTGGTATTAATTCTGTTTAACATTGTCATCTGTAATTTTTCATTTTTTTATTTCAATAGTTTTCTCCTAAATTTATCTTAAAACTAATCTATTCCAGCGAAAGTTTGTAATGCTAACTGTGCATCACTTTTTATACGCAACACTAGCTGCTACTACAATGGACGTATAATAGGCCTCACATCCAAGAGGCTCAGTTCGCAAAAGGCAATTGCCAAAAAGAAAGAGGAAGGTAACATAATTATCTGATCGATAATGAGATCTCCTTTTGCTTAATTCAAGTACTTCGTGAACAATTAGGTTCAGTCCTTCCATCCAGAAAGAAAGCAAAGCCAGGGAATAAAAGTGGTAATGCAAACGATGCGAGCTTTAGTCCCACATGACTTCTGGTGAAGGCTCCAAGCGTATCCAGAAAAGAAAATACAAATTTACAACGTTCAGGTGCACTGTGGCTAGAAATGTTTATAAAAACGAATATTGCTAATAATTATCAATAAGACAATCATAGTTCATTTAACAAGACATCCCGGTTTATTGCTTTTCTTTTCTTTATTTCGATCTGTTGGATTAATTATCCTTAACTATATTCGCAAACTCTTCTTTGTATTGCTGCAATTTGTCTTCCACTGCGTTCAGATAATCAGAGGGAATATTTGCTATTTTTTTTGATTCTTTCAAATCTATTGCAGAAAGCTGAGAATTAGGGAAAAGGTATCAGTTCAACTGTCTATATATAAGTATGTTATGTGATAAACCTTCTTTAAATCTGCGTCCAAAAGTTTTTGTTCTTCCCAAAGACGTTTAATGTCATTGTGAAAACGCTCGGACAACGATTGCTTGTGTTCGTCAGTAGATTTCGCGTTTTGACCTAAAAGGTCCAATTCTCGATTGCGAATTTTCTCTTCAACCTCCATTAAATCAATGTCGTTGCGCAGGCGCTAGAATGAAAAGAAAAATATATTCGAATTTTATATATCCATAGGTTTATCGCTGGTATGGTTTATGGTATGGGTACGGGTTTAGTTGGCGAATTACGTTTCAATTTTTATTTGGGGAAGATAGGTAATAATTATCGGTTGTCAAGTTTTTGCAAATTTGCAATGGCCCAGGGGTTCACTCGAAACTCGGATTTGTACCGGCTGCGCGTGTGCCTCCTTGCCAGATGGGTACATCCTTTTTTTCTCTCTCTGTCTTATTTATTTGTACATGAATTTATTCTCTTTATATTTTCGTCATTTTTTCTCTTTGCTTCTCTTTATCTACTTTGTATTAGTTATACCCTACACCATTTGTTGTACAGGGTGTATTAAGGTATAGCGGACGTATGTAACACACAGAAGGACTTAAGATGGACCAATCTTTTATTATACCCATCGAGTCAGACTCATAATCTGAATTGATCTAAGTCTTCCTGTCCGTCCATGTAAATTTGCGTTCATGCTACGGGTCGCAACTTTTTAGATATTCCAATAAAATTTGGTACATTGATCTAATGACACTTTTCCAACAACTCTTCCTACTCTGAAAAGTGGTTAAATGATAGAAAATTGCAATTTTTAAAATTTCTGGCTAAGTAGTAGTATTTGAACTCTTCTCATATAACGAAAACGAAAGTTCATTCGACAAAAATCGCAAAAGTAATTTAACGCTCCACAAAATTTTGATCATTTACTTCTCTTTTTGGATCCTGCCCTGTGTAAGAATGAAATTTGTACTACTTGTGCTACATTGCGTTTTGCGCCCACTTTCCCACAATTACGCATACGAAAAACATGACTTTATATAGAAATAAGATACAATTTTTGCGATCTATAATAAAAATAAGAATTGTGTCCTTCCCCGGCTATAACGTTCTTACTTGCTTTTAATAATAATTAGCATAAAATTTGATTTTAAGACTCAATTGAATACTTCTGTCAATTCATTTTCATTCATGTCATTCATCGCCGCTATAACACGATAGATTAGTTCCGCAAGACAGGAAACGAGGATTCTCGTACAACGTGCTCGTGTGATCCCGTATAATGCGTTATCTTTTTGTTATTTTCTTTACTTAAGATCTTATCTTTATGTACGTCTGTATTAATTAAAATTTCGCTATCTAATGATTCTTCTTCTCTATTTTATGTACAAATCATTATAAATTTGACAGTACAGAAATATAATGTGGGAAATCCCCACATTATGTGGGGAAAAAACGCGTGTTATACGAGGGGCATGAAATCGCGTAATTTGTGTACCTAGATCGCTCAAAAATTTCGCGAGTTTCAAAGATTGAATGATCAAATTATCATAAATACTTCCTCTTTGTAAGCCTGCGTTAAATAGGATGATTTTTTCGTTTTTCTCTTCTAATTTCTAATTACCTCTTTCTCAATGTTATTTTGCAAACTTTCCAGTTCACCCTCTCGCTGTAATAATGTTTTACGCTGGTCGGACTCATGAAGAGCTTTTAGCACTTCACCCTTTTGTTGACGTATTTCCTTCTGATGCAGTAATAGGACTTTGCGCTGGTAATTTAGTCGTTCTTCTTCACGTTTTAAGGTATCTTGATAATATCTTTCAATATCTTTTAAACGTTTATTGTGCTCCTCTTTACGTAATCCATTCTCCAATTTGCGTGTCATCTCCATTTCTTCCAAATCTAAAGCACGCATTTTATCATCCAGAGTTCTTTGTAGTTTTTGAATATCGATTGCTTTCTCCTCAAAACGATCTAAACTTTTTAACGGATAATTAAGAAATTTGGGATAAACATCTCGTGGCAGCGGTTGAAAGTTGCACATATAACGTTTGGGATGCAACGACATCGGACAGCAGGACATTAATTTAAAAGCTTTTGCTGTTAATTTCTTAATATCAATAGGATTTTGATCCTGAAAGAAATCACTTATTATTGTTTTATCCGGCAATCTTACAATGACCTCTCGTTGCATTATGTTGTAGGCGACAACACAAAAGATAAGAAAATATGGCGGTGCTGAGATGATATTATCCCACAAACAAAACCATTGATCTTCGTCTAAAACTTTGGCAAACGAAGTGTTCAATAAAGACCAAGCATAAATCGAAGCAGTTATATCCATGTCCGTATAAAATTTATACAGAGAGCAGTCGAAGTATTTCAATATATTTGTACAAAAACCTAAATAGTTACTGGGTTCAAGGGGATGATATTCAAAAAACATTTGAAACTGATTAAACATGAGGGTGACGCACACTTCAAACGTCGCTAATGGGTTGCTATGAAACATTTTCACAAATGGAAATATTAATTTAGCAACATTATCATTATAGGCAAACATTTTACACCACTGAGCCAGATTAGACCAACATCTAATCAGTGCACGTTTAATTTTTGCATTTTTTAATTGAATGCTACGAGCCTTTACGATAATGATTTTCGGCAAGCCCATTTGCATTAAATCCTGATATTGTGCACGATTGTTGGGCAGCTTTAATAAACAAAACCAAATCAAGGCACGATATTTGGAGGGATAACAATGGTATTCTTGTAGAATTTGCTGCAAGCTTTGTGGGGTTAAGAGTTCTCTCAGCTCTTCTCGGAATCGGCACTCGGCAGCGTTGATGGCTGTTGGTAGTGGCATAGGTTTGCTTTGTTTAAACGCTCTCCGCAACATATTCTTACAGCGTTCTTGAGAACGTAACACATTTATTAAATAACATACGGACCATATAGGCATTTCTCCGGAACACCTTGATATAGCCAAAAATTTGCCATCTGTGGATAATTGCATGCTTCGTGAGACACTCATATCGACAAACAATTTCAATTCAATATTCGCAAAATCCAATAAAACAATTTTGCGTTTATCTGTTAAACCAAATAACAGGCTTTCGTTAGGTTTGGGCATCAAGGCACATTGTTGCAATAGGAAATTTTTTAACTTAAAAATGCTTAACAATTCGAGGGTGTACGGGCTTAAAAATAAAAGATAATTATCCGAGGTGCTAAAACATAAGCAACTACCGTCTGTCTGATAGCAATACGACATAATCAAGCCCTCAGTAAGATCACGATCGCAACAACTGAAAGGAAATTCTGTATAATTATCCGAATTTAATTCTAAAACGGGCGTGGTGTCTTTCGGTGTTTGTAATTGCATTTTACGATCCCGCAATTTTATAGGATTTACTATACGTAATACTTCCAATTTAACGCTAGACCATATATGCAATGAATCGTTTGTAAAGCAAGTCAATATATGCTCTGAATATGGCAGATAGAAGGCGAATTTCAATGCCATTAACCGCTTATCAAAATCGAGACGATGAGTACACGTGAAAGTTTTTATATTGACGAGATATGCTGCGTTGCCCGAACGTATTACGGCTAAATTCTTCGGCTGTAACGGTACACCGGCAAAAGATATTTCAGAAATTGGCTCTTGGCTAATATTTACTAATCGCAATTTCGGCTTTTCTGAATACAATGAAAATTTAGAATTAAAGGAAATGATTTGCTTAAGGAAATTCTTACCCACATCTAATAGAATCAAAAAACCGTTCTTAGTGCCCAATAAATATTGGTCGGATTCTTTAACAGAAGGTACAATTACCGAAGATTTCGGTACACGCTCAGGGTGACGCCAAAAACGTTTACTGGCGAAGTCGATAACAAAGATATTTCCCCTACAAAAATAGAAACAACAAAATGATTTTCTGCATAGTAGCACTGACAGTTTCATACTGCGATAAATGAATTGAGTCCAATGAATAAATTGCTCAAAGATTTTTTAATGGTTGACTATAATGTATGCAAATCTTGTTAAAATGTGTGGAAATACTTTACATACGGGAAAAAGGACAGTTGTGTCCTATATAGCATTATTCAATCCAGATTTATATGAAAGAGCTATTCATTATTACTCAAGTGATCGAATTTAAAACATATCTACGTTATGTAGCTCGCTTTTAGCATATTGCGGACTGAAACAAAAAACTTTATTTAAATTTAAATAGTAATTTGGGAGTAATTTGGTCTTGAAATGCGGAAATTTTAACAAATGCAGAAAAATTCATACCAAAGCGGTGTTCAACCATGCTTTAATATTGCACAGACGGACAACGAGGCCTCTTATTCTAAATCACTTACGCATAATTAACCCTGGCCTTCCCTATTGGTCCCATTTCATTTCTTTATAAATATTTGAAAGGAGGAAAATTACAAACCTGCGGTCAATAGCCACGAATTGAGTGCCTCGTAAGTTAAAACAGTATGCGTTAAAAACTATGCGTATTAACTTGCCATCTTCTTTAACAGTATGGTGGACAGTTAGAATATTCCTGAAATTTCCGAAAATGCTTCAGTGCGCGCATTATTTTATTCCTAATAATTCCTTAACCTACCCATGTTTTTTGAATGAGAGTGGATGCTTTTTCATTTTAAATTCGCTGCCATGGGCAGATGAAGCTTCGCTGGAGGTCGTAGAAGCATAGTTTGTAAAATTAATGCTACTTGTCAATTCTTCTCCTTCCTCAGTTAGATTCGAGTCTTTTTCAATTTCCATGGCAAAAATATCGCAGAATTTTTTAACAATAAACCATCACAATAAAATAATATAAATATATATATATGAAAGTACACAGTTATTAAAAGCAAACTAACAGAATTGAAAAGCATTGCCATCTCATGATTAGAATATGACATATTTTTTATAATAAAACAGTTTTTTTAAGATATTTATTAAATTTTATTTTCTATGAGATTGATATTCGTGTTAATATATTTGTTAGCATGATAGCATATAACTTTCTTCACTTTGTGTATAAATTATGAATGTAAATTTATTATATTTTCTTATAATTAAGCGCTTTCTATTAAATAAATTTATATAGTAGTAGCAAACATTCTTAAAACATCCCGCCGTAAGGAGCGTCAAATTCACTGTCTTTCATGACATAACCAAGCATGGTTAAATAATTGACCGTGTTACTAATTAAAGTCAAAGCACATGCCAGCCAAGTGATCTGAAAGTTAACGCGATTAGATTAAGGAGTACTTAAATTTACGCATTATTTACCACGCCACTATGAGCCAAAACAATGGGCAGTGCAAAAGAACTTAATACCATTCCAGAGGTTAGGAACAACGCGAACTCGGTTTTTGGATTTGTTTCAGAACCGGGTGACAAGCGTTTCGCCAGCATCATTGGTATCACGGAAAGGACGTAGAATATTAAAACAAAGAAAGGGTAAAAAATCTTCGGTTGTGGCACAGCACAAGCCAATATTAAAAAGGTCATACCAATACAGGTCATAAATGCACATATTAATAAACTATAAATTGGATGAAATAAGTAAAGCAATTTTATAATAAACTATAGCATATATATAACAGGTTAACTTACACTTTGTTGTGTTGTCATAGCCAACGTGAGGTTTTAGTAAGTTTCCATCGATGAAAAATTTATGCAAGAAGAATATTTTTTTGAGTTTTTTATCGGTGTGTACTTTCTTAAAACATACCTTTTAATGCGGCCATGATTTCTCTCCTTCTTTAAAGGTGTACCTATGAATCTAAAATATTTATAATCCGTATTAATCACCAAAGTAGAAAAAATTTTTCTTTCTTTAACACTGTACTATATCGTTTTGTCAGATAGCCCAAGTTTTTGTTTTCATCGTTTTCTTCGTAAATACAAAACAAAAATGTAAAATAACAGTGTAATCAACTTCAAGGATTTAATATACGCGAAAATCGTGATAGCAACTTGATTTAAAAACCAAATAACTCTATTAGCTAATTGGTCGAGAACTTAACCTAAAATATACAAGAATTTTATACAAGATCCGCAACCTATTTGGATCTAACACATGAATTGTTGCAAACAGTCGGTAACTTTAATATTGAAATTTTTAAAAATATTAGTCTAAGACTCCTCGTCGCAGTTCGAATTGTGCAGCAAACGCGGCATGATATATTTCCTCTAAGGTATAAGGTAGATTATCCTAGACTTCCTAGAACAACCATGCGAGTAACGATAAGTTAAAGTGAAATAATAAAAGCACTCGGTATGAATTTTTTAAATTGAGGGAATGATTGTTTGGGGGGAAACCTGACGTTCGGCGGGCTAACACCGGTACCAGGTCATCGGCAACTAGCTGCCTCACAATACACACATATCTATATATATATATATATATATATATATATATATATATTCACAATAGTTTGATCTTATTTCTTTCATATACGTATTAGAAGGATATAGAATAGGATAGATTCGCCTGGAGTTACTTTCATTTTACTGGTTTACTGTGCTGAAGTGTTGCAAAACCTCATATCTCTCTATGCAATTTTTTTTTTTTTAATTTTATCAACACAGTATTATCGTTTTTGAATGGAATTAGAGTCTTTGATAATTTATTTTTTTATCTGTCACAATTTTCATTGCTTCATTGAATTACGCTTATTTTAAAAAAATTTAATATAGAATTGTTTTCGACGGGAGTAACAATAAATTGATGCAAGAAAAATGTAGTTTTTTTGCGAAGAAAAAACCCCAATACGCAAAATAAATTCCATAGAAGATAATTAATCTTAAAGTTGTTTTGCCAACATTTATTACTATTTTCGTGTTTGTTTAGTCTTTTTACAGCAACTGTGTTGCTGTTTAAGTAGTTATATAATTACAATGTGGCTGAACAATTTTCAAATAATGTCTCGGCCACTATAAAATGAGTATGTTGAACAAATCATAGTGCCAGTAACCATATCGATAATAAGTTAAAGAATGATGACAAGGATGAATTTGCGAAGACTGTTAATTTTTTCTAATTGGAAAAATTAGTTTACTATTTTGCTGGGGTAAGCCTCAGCCTCAGCGACGGAACGTACGGTTTTCTTTCAAAACATTCATAATTCGGTACCTATAGTATAAAATCCTAACAGGTGAATGCGGGTTCTTTTATTTTAGATTGTAGTCTGTTACCCAATCGTTGGTTTGATCCAGAATGCACTCCAGAATTCACTATGTCTCTGTTCGAAATCGAATTGGTGTTGCCAATCGGTTAGTTGATCACATTAGAAGTATCTTACCTAACTTATTTCGAATCTTATGTTCCATTCCATTCCGTTCTCACTTATTATAGTATGCCTACGATACTCACAAGAGAATAACAAACTGCTTGCTATACAAGAAATTAAGTGGAAAGTAAAATATACTTATTCTGCTTTGAATACCTAGGAATAACTTATAACTACGTATAGGAGCAAAAAGTGTCTGCAACTTTGGCCCTTACAAAATTTGCATCGGCGTTAAAAGCATCATGCGAGATTGAACGCAAGAAGACGGGACGACAGTGCCCAAAAAAGATAGTGATTTTCTGCAACAATTTTTAAAAAATGAGGTCCACATATGGGGCTACAAGTTGCTGTTTTATGTAGTGTCTTGGGAAACGCATGCTCTTTTGAGGTGTAATCCGGACAAGCAAAATCAGTAGATGAGCCAGATGTGGGAGTTAGCAATAAGATCGTCTTACGATTTAGCAGAGGGATACCAAGAATGGGGAATCACACTGTTTTTCGATCATTTTTATACATCGTTGCCCTTGGCATACTGTGTGCCGAAACAAGAAATCCATTGTGTGGCAACTACACAACAATATTCATTGCCTAATTGTAGTCTCCCGAACAGGAAGCATGTATTGACGACGCGGATTTCTCAGGGAACCTATGAGAAAAGAATTTCTCCCCATAATGGTGTTGACTTTTCAGGGCCGGTGTGGAAAGACTACAAGGTTGTTATTTTGTTCCTTATATTGGTTTGCAATCCGTAGATGGTATCTGTCCCAAAGCAGTGCAAGAGTATAATAAGAACATGAAAGGAATGGGCTTGGGGATTAGCTACTTAGGACGGTATCGATCAAGCGCCAAAAATCGCAAATCATACCTCTGCCTATTCTACCTAATCTTGGTCAGTTCCGCAATGATTTGACTGATGCTCTTTGCATTGTGAGACCTCATATAAATCAGTTCAGTCTAGTAATGGCTCATTAGAGAAAAGTTTACAGGGGAGTTCTGTATGGTGATCGCGTTCTTTGCCATCTATGGATGTACGAAAAGAAGGCGTTGGGCATTGACCGACATTTTCAAACAATTAGGGGGTAGAACTCCACTAATACACTGACATGTTTTGACTGAAGTACATATGCTATTCAAAATGGCTCGGATCGGTCTACTTTTTTGACCACTTACCATATAACGACTTTTCAAAATAAGGCGAGAAAAATTGCAATTTTAAAAATGTAGCGACTGTGATAGTCTTTGGACATTCCAAATTTGGAGCAATTTGTCTACCATCTGAAGAAATTAGAGCTTCTGTTATGAAGATATCGACTTGTCAACTTACCTACAGATAGTTATAGGTTAGAATTATTGAGGATTGGTATTAGATAGGATTGCTCGAGGAGAAATTTTTGTAATATTTAGTGGCTTAAGACATTGGATATTCCCTCATTTCTTTATATAATAAGGTCCATTAGGTTCCTCAGTAACATTGCAATTTATTTCCTTACATATTTTATATAAATATTTTAATATTATCTATTGATCAAAGCGTTCAGTCAAAATATTTTGAACAATCGAGAAACCTTTAAAATGTAAACATTTTTTACCAGTTTGTTCAAATGTATGATTCTTTCATTTAAAAAGCTTGCTTAACAGATTATTCAGTTGTGCTTTGTTTAATTTGATAATGAAAATTATGGCGGTCTACTTTTAGGCTAACTTATAAAATAACAAATTCTTTTCTCTTAAAGCGCTAGCATTAAAAAAAAATTCTACCGCACTGGAAATAAAAAATAAATTATACTTTGAAAAACCAAACTAATTTTAAGTGTTCACTCTATACATAATTCGGTAAATTACACCCATGTATCCATATAATCGTCATAATCTAACTGAAATGTGGAAAATATAATGCGAAAAGCCAGAAACTACTAGAAAGATTTACCGACGGCTTTTGTTAAGTTGGTCCGTTGGTCCGTTAGATAAAGTTAAGTTTTTGTTTTGCCGACGGCTTTTGTTAATTTGGTCCGTTATTTTACAGAGTTGGAACCTTCTGGTCTGTTAAGTTGCGCGTTTAACATAGCTGATTGGCGTTAACATTTAAGCTGTTAAGTTGGGCTTTTAACCATTTATATATATTATAAGCGACTCTGTGCTTTGCCTTCCAACAGGGAATTTAGCGAGGGCGTTGTTTAAAAATTATGACGGTTTAATTCTAAGCTAACTTGTAAAATACAAGAAATGTTCGATATTAACCTTTGACACATTCAATTAGGTAAAAATCTTCACACTTTCAAGCATGTATGACATTGAGAATCTATGACTAAGAAAATAGGATTACGATCATTTAAAGTCTCTGAAGGGCTAGTCAGCGAATATATGTGTACTAGTTATACATTGTAACTCAACTCTCTCCATAGGTATTATGCATGCACTGGCACGACATTGAGTTGAAAGAAACTATTCCCACTCAGGCGGATAACTTGTAAAATTAAGTAAGTTTAGTTCGCGTATTTTCCAATACCATCTAGAGGAGAAAAATTAACACCAAATATTCAAAAATATGCGAATATCGAACGCCAGGTCTCTAAAATTTTTAAATCAATGAATTCGTTAAAATTTTTATATAAAAAAACACTACATATTGTATGTACATGTGTTGTATTAGTTTAGTTAGCCGTAGTACGTAAACGCCATGAACTGCATAATTTACAGTTTTAGTGTTGTTTTAACGTTGTAAAAAAAGAGAAATGAAAATTTAATTTTGTCATTTTTCTATCCCTCACCCATGGGAGAAAATGAAAGCATACTTAGCGACGCCATTCCTCTTGATTTTGTGATCAAACAGTTTCAGAATGTGAATCATAATCAAAATCGACACATTTGTCCGTTCAAATCTTGAATTCTTTCTAATAACTTGAACTAATGCGGAAATTATTTCTCTTCTCCATGGAACAAAATTAAAATTCAAAATTGGAATTACAATTTTCTTATATATTCCAATCAGTCTGTAGCAGTTGGCAAACTGAAATCAGATCAGTTATGTTAATAGTTTGTGTAAAAGAAAAGATATTTACGCGAATTTTTGAAATTTGATGTAATGGGTATCCGGAATTCGCCCCTTCTGGCGGATAAAGCCTTCTTACTTGTTTAAACAATATTTTGAATCATGTTATAAGATTTAAAATAAAAAAAAGTCTCTAAACAACAATTTATCTGTAAAAATTTGAATAAGCAATGAGAGAGACAAAAGTAAAAACTTTAATTTTTTCCGTTCTCATTATATGTTTTAGTTTTTCCATAAATTCATACAAATTTTAATAAAATAAATGAGAACAAATTAATTAATTTATTTAATCATTAGACCATACGCACCACACATTCATTCATTCAGTAGTGTCGACCAGGGAAGCGGTGGTAACTTTCGCCGAGATGATTTGTTATAACCTATCCCGATATCGAATGGATGCCACTCCATGATTTATTATATCGATCCGTTTGGAAAGTGATTCTAATTTTGTCGCTTTGTCTTGTCAGTCGTTACATTAAAATGCCATGCATATTTAAACGAAATGATGATCACCAAAAAAAGAGTATGCAAAAAACGACGATAACAGCATACTATCGTATAAATATCTCAAAGATGAATTTTTAAAAGAGAACGTACAAGAAACATTTAAAGCCGTGTATAAGATGGTGTACAAAATTTACAACGAACACATGCCTGACACAAATCTTGGAAAGAATATCCAGGCAACCGACTTACAAAAACTGCCATTTTTCAAAACGGAAAGATGCTGCGCCAGTGGAGGGGGGAGGGGAGCACCGGAGAAACCAACGCGCCTGGCACGGTACCTCAAAGGTGGTGTGGAAAATCGTGAGAAGAATTTTACGGTATATGGTAATGGTTTAGTGGCCAAGTCGGCTGCCATGCGTCGAACCTAAAGCCACTCCTGTGCCTTCATAAGGGTTTCCTCCATTGAAATACCAACTAATTGGACAATGCAGTAGTGTTTTAAATGTATCATAACGGATGCCGCTTGTAAGAACTCCCGGCTATTCGAGGGATAGTGCTCGTCATGTAATGTTTTAATTGCGATTTCTCGAATTCTCTGGTTGAATAAGAAATCCTTTGTAAACTAAACCAAACTCACCGCCACCTATTATCATCTCGGTTGCTTTTAGCTAATATTAAGGTAAGTTCGAGAATTTTATTAAAATTAATTCACTATCAACTTGTTGTTGTTATTCGTTCAGCGAGAAGCTTTTTTATCAACGTTTGGCATGCAACTTTGAAAATTTCTGTGCTCTTGAAATAGCTCCAGAGAGATTATCAATTAAATCTTTAATTTTATTGGCCGGAATTCACTATTGGCTTCATGTCAATGATCTTTTTATTCGCAATTCTTAATTGGGATTGAAAATTTCGTTAAATGCATTTACGCGAGCTTTATTAGCAAATCAACGTTCTTATCCTTTTTATCATCGATGCAATCGCTGTCATTACTCAAGCTATCAATCGAATCGCTCCAAACGAAATCGTCACTAAATTCGCTGCAAGTTTTTATATCCTCATCTTTAATATCACTAATACTGCTCATGCCATCAAAATCTTCATCTTTTAAATTGTCATCCATATTTATTACAATCTCATCGACTTTTTTCATATCGATAGGTAAATCAAATATAGCTAACGGATCTTCTTGATCTTCTTGAATCAGGATTTTTTTATATTTTTGTTCGACTTTTAGACAAAGTTCTTGGAATATATAAAAATCCATCAAATTCAGGACACAATTTCCGCAAATCGATTTCGGCAGTGGATCTTTATCTCAGATTATGTTGTTTGCCGCATTATTAATTTATATGATATGATATTCATTGCTTTCTTAGACTCGTTTTTTTTTTTTTTTTTTGGATAAAGCAAAGCATGAATTCGCAAATATATCAATTATTGTTCTTGCAAGCAGGTTGGTGTGGAAAATGGAAAAAAAAAACAGTCAAAGAACACGGCCGCACTACGACTATGTTTCTTTATTTTTTATTAATAAATCTATGTTTTCATATAAAATTTCTTAATTTCTTCAATTTTACAAGTTAGCTTAAAATTAAACCATCATAGTCTTCGCTAAATTCGCTGCTAAAAGGCAAAACCGTCGGCCAATTTCCGGCTAATTTTCTCTGCTAAAGAATATTTAATTGATTAACAGCTGTTTTCTTTTCTTTTCAAATATTTTTCGATATATTTCTTCTTAGTAATTTTTATAGACAGAGTTGCCAGCCTTCATATCAAAAAAGGCAGTATATTAGCAAGCAAATGTAAACAAATATTTAATTTTATTATGTGTAAACAAATGTTAAAATAACCTTTAACTTTGTAAAGCCTGATGATATTGTGAGAGTAATAATGAAATTCTTCTTGCAATGCACGGTTGGACGATTTACGCTCGACAGCTAAAAATTAGATAGTAATAATAATAATAAGAGTAATAATGTACAAAAAGGGAAGAAATAAAATAAGAAGCAAATTGAAATGGTCATTCTGCGCGCAGCTGCTTTTGTCCTTGCGTATATGTCGCTAAACATATTTCTTAAAAAAATAATCGCCGTAAAAAGATAAAGTAAAGTTATATTCCATCAGAGAATGGGAGAATGTTTCAAACCGATTTAAATATTACTTGCTTTGATGCTTTGGAAAAGTTCTTAGCTTAGCTTAGCTTAGCTTAGTTTGCTCAACATGTAAAGCCTTTTTAATAAACTGAAAACATTTCAATAAAAAATTTTCGATCTCAACGCTCTCTCCCACTTCCGAAGGCTCGCACTGTTTTACTGTAATACTAAATATAGAATATAATAAAAAAATTAAATAGAAAACTTGATGAAAAAATGAATTTATGTTTTGTCGAAAATTTCAATGAAAAGCTTAGTTATGATGTAATGCGCATATGTTGTTAAATATTTTCATTCATGCAAAAAGTTTTCCAATCCAAACCTATTTACAAAAAATAGACGAAATGAACAACTACAACAATACCGATATGTTACCATTATTACGAAAAAAATGAAAGAAGAGAAACTCAAAAATATTAATCGAGTGAAAAATTAAAAATATTTCAAATAAAAAGAGCGTTTGTATATAAAATCATTATCGTTAGCATAGGACTCAAAGCGTTTTTAATTTTTTTTGTTTTTTCATTAATTGTTTCTTTAGCATTACTGCCGAAATCGAATGAATGATAATGTCTTTGGAAGGAAATTAGTTTTTAATTTTTTTTTTTTCACTTCTAAAGCTTATGTTTATTGTTTTCTTCTCTCATAATAATCTAAAGCGCAGTCGCTGGGAAGAATAGTAAGAAAGCTATCCCTTTTTACCACAAGGTTGCGGAGGTGTTTTAAACATTTTGCGTCACATTTATTAAACGGTTGGTGAATATATATTATCCTAAGTCAATGGCAAATGTTAGTACAAGACTAACCTTTGAACATAAAAGTAACGGAAAATTCTTGAAACCAAAACGAACATAAACGATATTTGTTAACTATTTTGTGTTTTGTTTTTTTTTTTAAAGAAGCCAAATCAGAAAAAAAAAAACGAATAAGAAAAGAAATGAAAAATTTCTGGCACTAAAGAAAAGAGAACAGAAAAAATAAAGAGAAAAATTTTGAAATGAAAGAAATGCGATTTTTTTAACCAATAAGCGTAGAAAACATATTGAACGCGATAACAACAACAAAAATCAATAATTCAACAAGAGTTCGTTCGTTTTTTTTCTTTACGACAAATAAATAAAAAGTCTAAAGTCATTCAATCTGTCACTTTTCTCTAACGCGAAGTCAACCGGTAACATATGGTAGTGCACTTACAAAAACTTTCTCAATATTTGTAAATAAAAAGCGAAAAGAAAAATTAATATAAATATTATTTTAGGTCCGTTAAAAAAAGAAATTGTTTCTCGTTTACTTTTTAAAATATGTTAAGATTAATGGCAGTTATATATAAAACACTTGTGGCCACTGTGCTAATACTTAGTATATGCGAAATATGCGAAATGTCAATTTATCCAGGTAAGCTAAAAATAAACTCGCATCTCTTATAACTGTATACACATAATATATATATATATATTTTTTTTTGTCTATATATATCTACATTGCATATAATATATAAAAACGTAACTAACCTATTTTATAACTGTAACTACGTAGGCATATATACATTTAGCTGCATATGCTACTACTACATGCAAAAAAAATTTGTTGAGCGTACATATATATCTAGTACATGTTTATATTTTATTTACACACACATATATAGTGTGTATGCATTGAGCATTAGTATTGGTTATATTTAGTTATAGTATACATCTTAAAGAAATAGCGCATTAAGAAAAGAGAAGGAACGTAATATTGCAGAAGCATTTGTATTTGTTGCTTAATCAAACCAAATGTAATACAATAAAAATTGCATAAAATATCAAATTTTTATACATATATATGCATATACCACATGTAGGCCGTAGCTGGATACATGAATCGCCAGACAAATCCATTCATGGAGAATCTTTCGCAACAACAATTGCATTAAAACAGAAAATCAGCCGTTGATGCTCAGCAAAGCGAATTGAGAGGCATTTTACTCATACATATGTAAATAAGAATACAGGCGCACAAAAATTTACGCAAATAATAGCGATAGAGAAACGAAGTAGTTGAAACGGCTTTGCCGACTTCCGTAACCAACTTGATGAGCACATATGCTCAAGTGCATAATAACAACAATTGTGTGTGTGTGTGTGTGTGTGCATTAATAGAGTACATGTGGTAAGAAAATAAAATCGTTGCATACAATACGGCTGGCGTATTTATTATACTTGAAATGAAAGAAAGAATTTAAGTATTTTTCTTATATGAAATGAAATTTTTTCCAAACTTGGAAAAGAAACTTTATCAATACTATTCAACTTAGAAAGTTGAAATCTAGCTAAATAAAAGATTTGTTATTTCAGAAAACGCGTATAAATTCTTTTATTTTAGCGATATTTTCACTAATATCTTATTTATCTTCTTGATCATCTTGATTTTCAAATTTATATACAATGTTGCTAATCATTGTACTTTGAAGACCTGCTTGGAAGAGTTCGATGTAAAGTTCTTAAAATTGCCCTTACGATTAACATTAACATTGCTATACTAACAACACTAAGTAAGAACATTTTTTTTATTTCAGGAAGGAAATAAAAATTAAATTTGGTTAAAACTCTTTTTAGCAAAACAATTAAAATCGTTTGCAATCACTAATGACTAAACATGCGATATAAATAAAAAATGTTATCACTTTTGTTTTCCTTTAGTTTTATGGAGGTTCATTGGATAATTTTTATTTATACTTTTCGCAAATCCCTTAATGGCCCCTTGGCCATCGCGCACGTTTAACCTTAAGAAACTTGTCACGAGACGTTTTTATTAAATTTAATTATTTATTTATTTTGAAACATAAATTGTGCTTACTTTTTTCAAAAAAATGTTGAAAAATCAAAAAAGTAGTAAAAGTCTAAGAGGTCTCAACAAGGATGCATTTGGTTGTCTTGCTTAAAGAGGAAATCAACTTCTTTTCTTCTTTGATTCAAGATATGAGTTCTTTTCATTCGTAAACTTGCCTTGATTGATATTTTTTTCACCGGGTAATCTGTTGTGTGACGCTCGAGAAAGTAAATTGAAAAACACTTTGCTCTCAATATAAGAATTTTCTCAGCATTAATGTTCTGTCGGATAGATAAAATTTGCTATGCGAATGTACACAAACAAAACATTTCTTCAATGCATTTCGTTAGCAATAAAATGTAAGCAAAAAGAAGTACAAGTGCAAGTAGTAAAGCAGGTCAGGTTATTGAGGCATCTTCAATTTTTCGTTAATGCTTAAATGTATATGCATAAATTAGTTAGAAAAATCGCAAATTGCTTTCCCATTTCTTATGACGTAAAACCAAAATAAAACAGGCGCATTATACATGCGTGCATAAGCATGCATTTCCTCTTGAGAAGATAATGAAATGAAGTGAAAGGATGAGAAAATGAAAGAGAGGGGAGTGATGGAGACAAAGAGAGAGAGAGAAAGAGGAGATGAGAGAAATGTATAGATGAATGAATGAATGTAATGAATGTAACGTACGTCTACATCCTCTCGGCCACTTGACATGAAAATAACTTTATTAATAATAGATAATAACTTTATTTTGATCATTACTGAAAAGGAACACCTTTTACTTAATGCTTATATTGGATTGCTTATTGGATCGCTTGCTAATTGCTTTTTTTAATTTCACATGAAGACATTAGCTTCGGCAAACCGCTATTAACCAGACTTGCATGAATTATGATCAAAATACAATCTACAAATGACTACTAATCACACCAACACCTTCTACAAATGACTACTAACCACGCTAACACTGCATGCGACTTGCTCTATTTAGGGTGACCAATCGTTCAAAATAACAACACGCAATACAACAATGTAAAGTAAACAATAAGAGAACAAAAACTAGAAATTTTTTTTGGAACTCGAAAATATCGAGTGACATTCTTCTAATAAAATTGTTACAGCATGGCACATTAGACATAGAACGGTTAACTGTGATGGGCTTTCTAAAGGTCCCTCTCATAAATGTGAACTGAAATTAAATTAAAATATAAATGCTATACGAACTTGGATCATGTGTTCTACCTACCTTTCGGATATCCTTAAATGGGTGGAGGTTTCATCAATTTATGAAAAAAACTAAGTAACCACATTTCAAATATCTAAAAATGTTATTGGGGTTTTTATCGCACTCTGTAGCGAATTCTCAATTCTGCATAGAGTTACTTCAATTCTGTATGACTGTGCAAGTAACGGAAAATTTTCGCTTTACTTATGAAAGCAGTTATGCCAATTGTTGTGTTTGCATGTTGTAAAGCGAAGTAAAAAATATCAATTTTTATGGTTTCCATCTACATCGTTTTTGTCGAATTCTTCTTTCGCATTCCTAACAAGATACGGCAAAAACACCGCTATTAATAACAGGGATTGATAGGTAATTACTTACGCTTAATATATTCAAAGTTATTTTTATGCGGACATTTTTTACGCGATTCCTTTTATGCGATTTTTTTTTTTGTGTGATATATGAAAATCATATGAAAATGAAATTTGATAATCAGCTGAAGGATTTAGAGCCATCTTGTTCACCGGATTTGTAGACGGAGCGCATTCCACGATCTGAAGATAAGGGGCGACGCTGCCTTCGCTGATGAAATAGCCGGTAAAAGGTATTCGAAAGTTTTAGCGACAATTATTGAAATTGGTGGATGTTGTTTAAAATAGGAATTTCTAATTACTTTGCGCCGTTTTGAGTTATTTTTTATGTGAGACTTTTTTTATGCGGTCCCTATTCACCACATAAAAAGAAAATTTTATTTGTATTGCAAAAATGACTTTTCAACTCGTGAATTTTTGTACGATTTTTTTAGGCGTTTTATTTTATGCGGTCCCTATCAACCGCACAAAAACAGGTTTGATCGTATAATAAATAAATCGCATAAAGGCTATGACTAGAGTTTGTAATTGGGATCAGGATGATTGTAATTTCAATTGCCAGGCACTGCTCAAGACTATCGAGGATCGAGCAAGAAGTCTGCAATCTTGCCGGTGGAATAACGAGGAAAGAGCAGAATGGTACAAAGTGGCTTCTTATGAATTAACGATATATGCGAAGATAATTCCGTGGCAGGGGAGTCCTGCGGTCTGTTGAGCGAAAAGGTCCTGTGATGATTACCTATTATCACGTTTCAGCACTTCAGCTTCAGCCCTTATCATAACGATAGTTACCGATATAGCTAAATAGCTTCAGCCCTTATCATACCGACACTGATTATATATAGGTAAATATCTGAGTATTGGCAACGATACCATGAAGAGAAGAAGAGATTGCGTAACACTTATTATATGTATTTATAAGGCGTGCTATTTTCTTTTCAGAGAGTTATTTTGGATCAATGAAAGAGCTCTTGACTCTTTTCAGCAAAGCCATAAAAAACCTTGTTCTGGCTGAAAAACTCAACCAAAAAAGGATTTTCACAAGGGTTCACTTTAGATCACTACGAAGACGATGCAAAAAGCAAAGCCGGATGGGCAATAGAATCAATCAAAGTTTATTAACTCTTTCAATATTTGTCGTGTCATTAAAGATTTGTGTTATCTAGTATGCCGTAATGCCTTTCCTATTGATCCATTCTGAATCCCTGGTAGAGCAAATTTTATTAATTTTTTTTTTTAGAAAGTAACGAGCTTCTCTTTTGCCTTGGCAAAAAATGGCTTAAAACTATTTTAGCCAATGTTTAACTGTACAGCGATCTAATAAGATCAAGTCTACCGGTCTCTTTCCATTTTTTTTAAGCGTTTTTCGAAATTTACAAAGCAGGAACGAGCGAGCAAAGCATGTCTTTACCATAAGCAATAGGATTAAATTAAATTTTTGAATGTTTCGTTTTGTTGTTTGCTTGTTTAATTTTATGTATAATAATTTTTTTTTTTATTTTTTTGGTTAATTTTAGGCCTTCGTCGCAAACCGATGCAACAACTTCAGCCGGCCTATGAGGTAAATACGGACTTTTTGGCTCAATTAAAAGAGGAAAATGCACGACGACGTTTACAACAACAATATGATCAATTATTGGAATTAATAAACATGCAAATAAATCGTCAACGTCAACGACAAGAACGATTACGGGAACGTTTTCGTCAACAACAATTGGCCGCCATGGCCAATGCTGACAGTAACGAGGAATATTCAATAAACTTCAATGACGATTATAACAGTGATAAAGCAAATGAAGCAAACGAATACGATGCAACAAATCCCGAATTTAGTTATAAAATATCTAATTGGGATTTAGATAATCTAAAAAATCGTATGGAATTTGCAGTAGGGCCGGCCGATCCTCGCTTCTATGAAAACGAAGGAGAAGTAAATCAAGTGAATGAAGAGATCAAAAGCATTGATAAAATTAATGAAAAAGACGAAGATGACGGGGAAGATTTAGATCCTAAGGTATTGGAAGAATATGAAGAATTGCCAAAAGTTGATCAAACTGACAGCGAACAGCACAACGACATGGAAAATGCCAATGCCGATAATGTTGTGCTTATTGCGCATCCTGCGACGCCTGGCGAACAAACGAGCATTAATTTTCATAGGATTAAACCGCAGAGCAATACATTTAAGCAAGGTCAAATGGGTTTGGTGCCAGCTCATCAGGACTTGAGTGCACTGATTGACAAATTGCATCAAAATTTAGAACAAAGTGAAAAAATCAATGACGAAAATCACTTAGTCGTGCGAGAACATTTAAATATGAAAGCTGAAATGGGCATGTATGTCGTGGCATTGATAGCAGGGGTCAGTGCAGCCGCTACAGTGGGTCTATTCATTCTAGGAATAGTTTGGTATACGTAAGTTATAACAATGTATGAGTTACGCATGCGGTTCTGTCGTGAGTGTTCTAAAGACGTGTAAAAATTATGGGCGCGCAAAAATTGATATAGATTTTCGCTCACGAATTTTCAATGATACGACTTCTTCGGGAGTGCGGATTGGGAAAGGATACAATTGAAATTATGAGTTGTGACTAAGGCAATAGAAGTAGAAAGACAAGTTCAATTGCTATGTAGTTAGCCCGAGGTTCTAACCCATGAATTCATATGGGCATTTTAGCTACGATCTCGAGCAATTTTAAAATCCACATATTGTTATAAATCGTAGGTCGCATATATAATTGCGAGTTACTGACAATTTTATTCCTGTTATGTTATGTTTTGATTTCGGTTGCTTTGGCCTACTAATAGATTGATTCACATTCTCGTCTATGGGACTGACATATCCGCTTACAGACCGACACCTACAATCTTATGATCTTTGTTCCTGTAATCTTATTTTTGACTTCGGTCGCTTTAGTCCGCTAATAGATTGATTCACACATTCTTGATTGTATGGAATTGAGCTGACTGACATATCCACTAAGCGTCAGACTTTCGTTCGATTTTTTCAATTATTAAATTGCATAGCCATAACCTGACCATAAACGAACGAATATCATCAAGATGACTCGAAATGTTACACAAAGCATTCATTCATTTACGTGATTGGAAATAAAACAATAAGTTTAGTAGATTTTTATTCTTCGCGACGGTATGTATAAAAGAATAGTAAATAATAATAATATTTTTTTCGGAGTCACACCTTCACTCACACACTAACATGAGAATACACAGCTCAAAGTGTCTCCCTTTCACTCAGCACTGACATGACAATATTCTGAAGTCATGTATAGCATGTCGGCCAACCTCTCTTGAGATTAAATAAGAAAACACATTTTCTTCCCAAAAGACGTTTCAGTTTCCGCTTTGATCTCTACATCTTCAAATCTTTTCCCCTGATGCATAGTTTCGCCGAAGGCCAGCTTCGGAAATACGGATGGGCTAGAAATTCAAATTTCATTGCAATCATCGACCTAAGGCATGATGCACTTGTTTAACTGCTAGTTGGCTGGTATTGCATTTGCAAAACAACTTTGTCAAGCCCAGATTTTCATCCAATATAATCTGCATTCTGAGCTATCTCGTTCAATTTCGCTTTTCAATTATTCAGAATAAGTTTGTAGTGTTTTTTGATGTTTTTTAGGGTAATCATCTCCTTTAAGTGTTTACTTCGTTTAGCATCAATCTTGCCCAACTTGCCAGATTATTGTCTTTAAGGGAAAAGAGTTTGCAACCCCTTTTCTCATATTTTGGCAAAATTAAGGTTCAACTTGCAGAATTTTGACTTTTTCCACTGCTTTGAAAATAACAAAAGTATTGCCACGAAGATCGCTGCAACTCGAAAAGAAATTACATGAAATTTTGACAAACATTTTTTGAGGGACGGTGTGTTCGAAAAAGGATAATTGTTGTTAAGAAGCCGTCATGCATATGTCGGAGAGGAAAATTATTAACAGACCTGTTAGGTTCGATGGTTTCTCTTTCGTATCTGTCCTGATATGTTTTCATTCTTGTAAAATGATATTCAGCCTTCGGCCTTCTCATGACTTTTGACTTAGTTAACATAATTTTCTTTCTCTTTGATAAAGATTCCATAGCCGAAGTAAGGCGGCTGCCGATGTTGAATATCCAGCTTATGGTGTAACGGGACCTAATAAAGATATTTCGCCATCCGGTGATCGGAAACTGGCCCAAAGTGCTCAAATGTATCATTATCAACATCAAAAGCAACAAATCATCGCCATGGAGAGTCGTTCAACAGCTGAGGAAAGTTGCGAAATATCCTACGTAGAAAGTGATGATGATAATGAAGAGGGCGATTACACTGTTTACGAGTGTCCCGGTTTAGCACCGGTAAGTTAATAATACATTCCAAGACGAATAATTATAAAAATATATATATTTATATATATATATATATATATGTATATGTGTTTCTTATTAACATCAAAGACTGGCGAAATGGAAGTGAAAAATCCTCTATTTTTGGATGATACACCAGTAACACCGGCTTTAGGTTCACAGCCTATTGCTCAAGTGACTGCACAACAACCGGCCGTTAAAAAAATATTTGAAAAGACGCAAAGAGACGGTGGCGCTGGCAGCATTATCGGAAATAATACATCAATGTCTTCCGATGGTAAAAAAGTAAAAAAAGCGAAAAAATAAACACCTTTCAAAAGCAAAGCTTTCACCAACTTTTCCCATATACTTCTCTCAAGCAAGGCAATCTTAGGGTTTCCACATCACCCAGATATAAAATAAAATCTTCTTTATACGCCGCTAATCTATGAGTTAAAATTGATTTGAAATTTTATTATTTTTTTTTTTCCTTATGTTACACCTATCCACAAAAAAAAAAAAAAAAAAAAAAAAAAAAAAAAAAAACGAAGAAGAAAAAAAATAAAGTAATTAAATGTTAAAAATAAACGGTATTTTTTCCCATAACTCGACATTTGATACAAGAAACGTAACACAAATCTTTTCACTTGAACTCTTTCGAGTGCCATTGAATTCATTTAATACCACGAAATTGTCCCTATACCACGACTGATTTAGCTAAAAACGTTCCTCATACGAATAAAATTTTCCCTCTGCTATGCCGTTAATAAAATCTTACAAAAATTATTCTTAGCTACTTCCAGCAATGATCAATTTTTTTAAATATCTCCAAGACTATATAAAATTTTCGAAATATTTTCCACAAAAAAAAAAATCACGAAATTAAACTAAATAAGTAAGAAAATTATATTCGGTCATGACCGAATTTTATATACCCATCGCCGTTAGCCTAGAAAGGATAAAAAAACTTAAAAGAAGTAAATTTTTGTCGCGTAGGTGTGTGGGCATTGTAGGCATGTCCTTGATAAAGTCTAAGTCAACTCCGAATTTCTAGGCGATATCTTCATCATCTTCGCTAACGGAACGCAGACAGATGGGCAGATGGGCAAGTGAAGCCATCTGAAATTTGACACTGCCCAAGAATTTATTTACTTTACGAAGTTTTTGAGCCTTTTTTGTTATGCCTTATAAAGGTACCGAAAAAAAAAAAATGGAATTTTTGATACACTATAATCTTGGAAAGGCGTGGTCTACTTTTTTCCATTTTTGTACGGCTGCTACAGTTTAAGAGTAATGAGCAGAAACCCAATTATTTTATACCTTTGAAAAACAGAGGTTTTCTCATTTTATATGATATTGCGGGCGTGTACTGCAACCGATTTAGCCCATTTTCAATATCAATCTGCTTGCAAGAACTTCCAATGTGTCTGTCAAACTTGCAGTCAATAGCTTCGATTTTGCGGCGATATTTGCAACAGACATTATATAGACGGCTAGACGGACATGCTTAAATCGATTTACAATTTGATGCGATATATATATAGTTTGTGGGGTCTCTGATGCCGGCAGACCTTTTCGACAAAACGAATATACTTTTCATTCTTCGATGATGGGTATAAGTATATATATAAATAAATAAATATATATATATATATGTACATATGTTGTAACTTACATTGTCGCGTAAGTTGCACAACTTTTTCCTCTTATCACTAGTGTAACATTGTTGTTGAGTAAGTGAAGTATAATAATAAAAAAAAAGGTGGTTCTGCCTTAAGTCCCACTGCGTATTACATATTTCTCTCTTTCTCTCTCTCTCTCTCTCTCTCTCTCTAGCTCAAGCTGTGCAACCCACGCAACAGAATATACGATAAATTATTGAATAACTCAATTAATGCTTCACTTATGTTTATAAGAATATAATGCATTTACATGAGAATCTATCGATTTTCCAGTCATATATTCATTCATGCAATTTCTTCTTCCATACAAACCATACTAATGAACTAACGAACTAACTAACTAACGCTTGTTTCATTTAATTTTTCGAATGCATTGCACAGGTAATGAATTTCTATGAGAGAGCAATTATTATAGACCGTTAGAAAGAAATGAATCTACTAACATTTACTTTAAATAGAAAATAGCTTTAACATTGTAGTGAGATTGTAATGAGAATCCTGGTTAAACGCGATAACCCGCAAGAAGTGTTTATTTTTCTAAGATACAAAAACAAAATGATGGCTAAATAAAAATCTTGCTAAACTTTTTAGCAGAAAAGATGGTACACACTACACGTTCTTTTTGTTTTTGTAGATCGACTTCTTATTGCGTGTTTTTATTAAATCAAATCAAATATTTTATTCTCTTGGTTGTTGTAAGATGAACAAAAACCTAACAACACTAATACACTTACTATTACATATACCGTATATGATAAAATTAATTTTAAAAAAAAGAAAAAGAAGAAGAAACAAATAGATATTTTTTACGCAACTAAGTATATGTAACAACATTTTAAACTTTTATTAAAATCATTTAAATGAAAACTTTTTAACTGAGGATACTGTCTTAAATTTCTCCTAATTTAGGCAAATGCTTTTATTTCTTAAATGTAAGCTGAACGACCTCTTCATTCCAATTTCCTTTAAGCAATTTACCGAAGCCATATGCCGATCAGGGGTAAGAAGCTAAGGCCGCTTCTTCGTCTTGATATTTTAAGTAAATTATCATCTTAGAGAAGAAATTACATTATATAAGGATTCCTTAACCGCGTAATGTGGCCAAAGTGGCATTTGGCTTCAATTTATTTACACTAACTACAAGGTCGAGTCATAAGTAATTTTTGAAACACAGATAGGTACAATCTATAGGTCGTATTTACCCATTACAAGTTAGCGAAACAAACGAGTTTTTGTTTTCACTATATATACGAATGACGATTCAGTTAGTCTTGTGGCAACTCTTTTATGTGGTGTAGGTTCAATTCAATCTTTTTTCTCTGATCTCTGAAATCGAGAAGTCAAGAAGTGCAGAATTGAGTTTAAACAAAGCAATAGCGTTAAAGTGGTAACTGAAAAAATATCCAGCGTATATGGTGAAGGACTGTCAAGTGATCGTGCAGTTAGAAAATTCCATTCCGGAGATGGGAATGAACCGAACCCTGGACGTTCGTCCGTGTTTGATGACAAGCATTTGAAGGCAATATTTGGAGGAAAATCTCCTCCAATCAAGAAGAGAGGTATTAGCAAAACGCTTGAATATAAAATAAATGGAATTTACTTATGACTCGCACCTAATATTAATGAAGAACATCGCAAACATTCATTATCTCCAGTGTTATTGATTATGTATGTCATCGGATACTCTCTAAGATAATCTTTCAAAATAAAATCTTTTTTAACAAAGCCTTTTTACATTATAAGAATACAACACTATGGCATAACATGATAAACATACAACAAACAACTTATTATTATTTATCATAATATTTTCAATGCGAGAATGTTCAAAAATATTTATTATATCCGAGCCTCTTATATCAAAACTTAAAAGCTTTATTTAATTAAGATAACAGAATAAGAAAATTATACAATATATTTTCGCCTTTAATCACTACAAACACACACACATGTACTTACATGCATGATTACTATATATTCAGAAAAAAAGAAAAATAAAAATAAAAATGAATAAATAAATAAATAAATAAATTTAAAAATAAATACATACAAATATAAAACTGCACGACATTAGCGCCGTAGAAAGTATTTTCTATTTCAAAATTATTTTCATCCTCTACGAAAATATATATATATATATTCCGATTGTAACACTATGAAATGCGTATCGGATATCATCCTCTATTACATACATAGCTGACCAGCATGTGATCTCAAACTGACCCATCGATGTCCGTCTAAACACTCGTATATATCTTCCGATTGCGAAATTCGGCGAACAAGCTAAAAAACCTGCCAAACGGATTCTTATTTTACGGTCAACGACCGGACTTGGAAATAGACGAATAGACAGATCTACAGTATCCGTAGAATTTGTAGCAAGGGTTTATTGTGGATTCCTGCCTGAAAGGCTTAACCCCACGGTGGCCCAAGCCACTTTAAGCGTAGTACGCCCCCTGGCGAGTTAGACAATCCCCACAGAGTAGGGGCCTAAACAACACCAGACTCCAGAACGGTTTATTGTGTATGGAACAATAAACCCCCCATCACTCTGGTCAGTGGTGAGGCCTAGCTGCACTCGACTGTTCCAGTTTGGCTAGGAACTTGCCAACCACAGCCACCACGAGTACTCCCCGAAGGGCCGCGCCCAAGCAGTCAGGACTCACAAATTGATCAACGCTTGCTTCCGCCATAAGGCTTCCCCTGCGCTGTTGATCAATAGTATCCGTAGACCATTTTAACCTTGATGCTTGATATAAGTATATATAAAAGTGAAAAAAAAAAAAATGTTTAACAATTAATTACGTATTTCTTCGCAGCCAATGAATCGAATCGAAAATACATCCCGCGATCAAATTGGTTTTCTTATCCATTAATTTAAACTAGTAGGCCTTTACAGAGCCCCTATACAGAGATATCACAGGTCAAACACAAGTTCTTATGGCCAGGGTTCGATTACAATGCTTTAAGGTGTTGCAGTTTGAGACAAAATTGATAAAAATCATCCGCATAACACAGTCACTTATACATTTCCGTGATAATATACTAGAAATTATGCGTTATTTTCATGTAAAGACATACCCTTCACGAAAGCGCTCAATTTGGAGGATCCTCCAAACGCCGCCTATTACAAGTTTTATTATTTTCCAGTTGGTCTCGTTAATCAAATTAGATTTTTATCGCCGTATATGGGTTTGGTTTTCACGAGATCCACTATATACGATGGTAGGATGGTATCTGACCTATGTGATTCAAGTTCCCTGCATTGCTACATTGCTATTATGGACCAATTTTCACCATAACATATGAAAAATTACACCTTTTTAGCACATAAGGCTTATATTGCGGAGAGTTTTAAAAATGAACCCCTAACGATGCGTAGTTTTCACATCACTTTAAATTACAAGCTACAATATTTTTATATCCTACAACACTTGTGATAAAAGAATATATTATATTAAGTTCATCCAGATGCACGTAACATCCAAAAGGACTTGAGATAGGACCACCTTTTATTATAGCAGAATCATTTTTCGAATCGATTTGTCCGCTTGTCTGTCTTGCTTTCTTGCGTTCGCCCTACAGGTCACAACTTTCGTGATACTATGATGAAAGGTCGTACGCTGACTTGGTTTGACTTAAGAGCGAACGCTGTAGAAAATATGTTTTGCAAAGTCTTTAGATCAATAACTACAAGATTGTGTAGGGCATTTAACCATGAGCTCTACCGCACTATTCTATTTTTATTTATCTTATTATAATCGCACGAACTTCTATCTTGTTCTTCCTCATTCTTCTTGACTTAACCTAAGTTTGACTGCCCGTCTTGCATTTTGTGTTCAGCTTACAGATCGCTACTGTTGATGAATACACCGGCAAGGACGAACACGGGACTAGTTTTTCGACCACTTCCCCCGACCGTTACCCCTTATTTTTAAAAGTCGCTTTATGAGTGATCTAGGGTATTTATTAACGGATCGTGTACCCCTGTAATATATTTATTATTGGTTTCACATAACGACTTATCAGAATAAGAGATTGACGCTGAATAATAAAAGAAAGAGGGTCTCTCTCAACCCCTTTCTGGGAGTTTTTATGCTAATCTAGAATGCCGAACGCCTACTACTTGGCCACAATTGCCAAGGAATTTTCAAAATTTTGCAATTTTTCCAATAAGGCCTTATTCTGAAAAGTCGTTATATGGGGTGTGGTCGTAAATGTGGATCAATTCGAATCATTTTTAATAACGTTTATCCTCGGGTCAAAACACGCCACTGTATCAAATTTCATCAAAATATCTTAGAAATTGAAAGGTGGGTCTGTCTTAAGCCACACAATGTACCAAAAGTTGTGTAGGGTATGATATATATCAACAATTCAGTTTTCTTTTTTGCTTCTTCTTAGCTAATCCTAGCTTTTTGACTAGCAAGCGAGAGCTACCTTCAAACTTAATCTTCCAGTATAGGATACAATGATGCGAACACTAACTTCCAATTCTAATTTAATGCTTTTATCTATCTGTTGAATGCCGTACATCTTGTTCGAAGGCGTATACTTGACATTAAAAAGTCTTATAATGTACTTAATGCAAACTTAGCTATAGCAAACTTAGATTTACACACATTTACATATTTATTATGCAAACGTAAAATGTATGTTTATTTCAATAATCAGTAACGAGATGACAAAATACAAATGTTGTCAAAATACATACGAATAAAATCTCAAGCACTTTTTGATGTCTCTGTTATCAATAACAGTCGTGACCTTCATTTTCATTACAAAAATTCTGTTAAACTGTTACATGTTTATAAAACAAAAGTAGATAAATTGATTATGTGTTTTTAAGTAAATATAAGTGAATGTATGTCTCGACTAAAGAGTTTGTAGGTAGCACATACAACTTGTTGTTGTTTCGTCATTCTAAACTTTATGTTTGCCAAACGCTGCAACAAATTTCACTGAAAATTTTCGCATTAAGAAATATGAAGACATTTTTTATTATTAATTACGCGACAACTTATAAATTTACCAATAAACAGGAAATGATTGAGAATCGCTTTCAAGAGTCCCCTCTTGAGAGAAATTTCGGTATACATTGCTTCAGTTAGCATGCATGATAAATTTTCAGTATATATAGACAGATACTGTTCATTGTGACCAAGATACATACGTTCGAAAATATTTTTGGGAAAATTTCGATCCTAACATGTGATCGTTAAAGCGCGGAACCAAATATCTCACTCTAAGAATATTCTTCGTTCACAGTTCGACAGCGTACGTTTGAACTGCGAAGAGGGGGACGTTTGTTTCATTTTAGATTCGATTACGGATTGACAAGAAGAAATAATAGAGGGCGTAGCGGAGGCATGTGTAAGCACTGTAAGCAGTTTACCCATTAATTAATAGGTCACGATGTCGACGACGATGCTTGAATAGAAGAAAATGAGGTTCAGTTTAACGAAGCAAGCGAGGTATTTTTCAAGTTATACTATATATATATATATAACTATCTTGAAGAAAGTACATTACGAAAAATGTTCAATTTTCGTGATCAAACGTGATCTTGCAGGTAGTCTATCCGAAATTTTTATAAAATGTAAAAACTATACCGTACAAAACCCCAAGAGCGAAGATTTTGAAATAGCGAAATATTATGAAAAGAAGGCGATGGCAAATTAATTTTTGATAAAATCGCGTATTACATGTTAATCTCATTATCGCTATCTGTCAACGTTATTACTTTAATAGGGCCAGCAATATTAACTCAATCGTTATCGTTTTAAACTTCGGGGACTTTCTAACCAGTATAATGTGCGATAATAATATGTAATAACCAGAGCAATGTCTTCGTTCTCTAGATGCTACTGATTGGCGAATAGGGTAAAGTATGGAATGAGAAAACAAAAGAAACAAGCGTCTGCTATGAAATAAACCGTACAACAACAACGAGTTACATTTGCCATCTGGCTTTTTGGCACATATACATACCTTGACGCAAGTTTACTTAAAAACACTGAAATTTATATACTTTGGCTTTGCAAGCGTGCGATGCGGCGTAAGGGGTTAACAAAATTCTTTACCATATAAGTAATGAGAAGGAATGACCGACCCTGCTATTATTGTTATTATTGTTAACAGGAATAATAACAGCAGTTGCGATGTTACTTATTCGTACTTTAAACTCAATGTTTGGACATCTTCCCATTCAGTTGTCGACGAAAAAGTAATGTGCGTCAATTCTATTCTATTCGCTTCAAGTCCACTTCTTTTCAAGTAGATTATGTATTGTTACGAATACAGATTTTCCACACAAATACAAACATTGGAATTAAAAATTTGAAACTTTTCACTTCGCTCAATGAAATAAATTTTATGAATTATATTTACTTTTTCATTTTCCACTTTTTTACTCGGGCTTTACAATAAGTAAAAATTAAAATAGAAAAAAAGGGTTTACATGAATTTAAACAAGCTCCCAGACAATATCGAACAGTTCTCAGAAAGGTTATTCCCATATATATTTGTATTATATAATTCTATTGAAAAACATTGTATTTTGCACTTGTAAATTCTTAAAAAAATTAATTTTTTTTTTTTTTAATTTCAAACAATTTCTCTTTAATATGTTATTGTATTATTTCTACATTACAATAAAAAAAAGAAACACAAAACCATATTAGGCTGTTAGAAAAATAATTTCGTTAAACAATTTTTTGCATAATTTGGATAGAAAAGGCGAAATTAATTTATATATTTATTAGAATTATTAATAATTTATCTAAAATTAATCAAATTATATACAATTATTTACAAGAAGAAAAGAAAACATCAAATATAGCTATTTACATAAATAAAATAATTTATTCTATGTATATTAATATAACTAAAAAAAACATGATTTACATAATGTACATTGCACATGCAGTTACATTTCAAAAAATTATACAAAATGCAAAAAACAACAATTTATGTACACATCCAAACAAAAAAAAAAAGAAAAACAAAAATAAAAACCCAAAATTAATCAAACACAACAAAAAAAAAATTTAAGCGAATTTTTTCAATCATAAAAGAAAATATTTATTTGCAGTCTTTTGCTTATATACTTAGCCGGAAGTATATTGTGCAGAAAATATACTGCTATTTGCAGAACGAACATAATACTCTATGCTAATTTACAGAACGAACGCATGAGAGGCCATGCAATATAATTTTGCGTCTGTTAAAAGATTTTGCTGTTTTTTGCCACTAGATGATGCTGATGCCTACAAGTCTGGCAGCACTGATTGTCTCAAACGAAGATGTGTTTAAAAGGTAAGATAATTTTCTAATTCTTTGCCCGTGTAAAAAGTTATATTAATTGAAAAATGAGTGAAAGCTATATTATTAATAAAAAATAAATAAACATTAGTTAATAAATATCCCAAAGTTTTCCTTTGTTTTGCCGACGGCTTTTGCTGATTTTGTTAGATAATTTGGTCCGTTAGATATTTGCCGACGGGTTTTGCTAATTTTGTTAGATAATTTGGTCCATTAGATAATTTCACAGAGTTGAATTTTAAGTTCGGCATTTAAGATTGGCGTTAAAATTTTGTTAGTTGGGCTTTTAACCATTTATATATATTATAAGCGACTCTGTGCTTTGTCTTTGAACAGAGAATTTAGCGAGGACTTTGTTTAAATATTATGACGGTTTAATTCTAAGCTAACTTATAAAATACAAGAAATTTTAAATGTTCGATATTAACCTTTGACATATTCAATTAGGTAAAAATCTTCACACTTTCAAGCATGTATGACATTGAGAATTTATGACTAAGAAAATAGGATTACGATCATTTAAAGTCTCTGAAGGGCTAGTCAGCAAACATTGTACGAATATATGTGTACTAGTTATACATTTTAACTCACCTCTCTCCATAGGTATTATTTTTATGCATGAGTTGAAAGTCGAGATTGTAGTTTCGTTGCTCTTCATCCATTTTTGGCATAAGTGCTTGTTGCAATAAACAGATTACTGTGTTGCAAAAATAGTGTACTAAATTTATGTGTCAAATCGTTATGCTTTAGCAATTTCCATTATAAAATACTACAAATTTGATCTTGCTGCTTTAAGAAAGCTTATAAGAAATTTTATATGAGAAGGAGTTTAAAAAGTGGTCCCACCTGAAACTTCCCATGCTTATTTTCAGCGGTTTTTGTCGAGAAATCCTGAAAGTACAAATTACTTTCATTTGTAATATAAAAATATGTGTTACTCTAAAAAGAAACGAAAAATATGGAAGAAGTCATGGAAGCAAAACTGGAACAAGGCATGGGATTTTGACTTATTACAAAAATATTCGGATAAAAAGAAGAAACGTTAAACATCTATGTTAGTAATTTATTCAGTGAAGTTGATTTAATTTTTTTATTTATTTCGGTTACTTTTACTTCATCTTGAAACTAAATAGGTTATAATATCCTTGAAAGAGAAGTGAAGTGAGAAATGCTACTTCTTCGTGGACTCCACAACGTTTCTGTCCAATTTTTTATATGTTAGGTCAATGCTTTTTCGTCTATGGTATGTTTATTGAAATTGGCAACACCTAAAATAATGCAATGAATATGGGAAAAGTGGAGTAGGCAACTCTGTTCTGAGTAGAATTAAACCTGCTCATACAACTCTGCTCCAATTAGCAGCATAGCAGAACCTAAAATTTTTAAAGTATTGTTGTTGTTGTTTTGTTTATTTGATTGCTCGGGTGGAATGTTATATGAATTCAGTGAAAAAATATCTATTTCGTATAAAACAAATAAACATATATTAAAAATAGAAATTAAATATAAGAAATGTGCTTATTTTTTCAAAGATGAAGCTAACAAATTGAAGGATTAAAGAATTGTGCAAAACCAAATAAATAAATCATTCATAATAACTAAAAAAAAAAAAAAATATCTTAATAAAGGGGTGAATTCTGTGTTTCTGTGTTTCTTCTCAAGTGTAACAAACACTTTGCAAGCATTGTTGAGTGTAAGTGTAAGGAAATATAAAGCAAATTTAGCCCCGCCTGATTATATCATTATATCATTTTATGGTTCGATGAAAAACGCTTTGCTAATTGTTACAATGGAATAATATAAAACGAGTCTACGGGAAGTGGGCACAAAAGACCATATAGCGTTGTACACTTGTAGGATAACATTAATTCATGTTTCCTGCCATTCCAAGCTATCCTTAAAAAAAAGAAAGAAGGAAAGCTGAAGAAAATGATTCAACGTTATGTTGCTTCTTTAGCTTTGTAGCCTTTGACATCATTACAGCTTAATATCATAATATAATGAACATATGGTTTGTGTTGAAAAGGTCATGTACGTACAAAAAGAGATTTAAAAAAAATAGGGAATATTCGCTGCTATTGACAAAATGAATTTGTGTACACTAAAAAGATTTCAAGGTTTTCTCTGTTAGTATTGTTGAATAGTTTTTATCTTTCTTCTGATAGTTTTTTTTTAAACAAGTACTCTGCGTTTTGTTGTTCATTGAATCTTCTGGGGCATACCGCTGCCTTTGAATAATAGAGTTTGAGATCAAATTTGTTTCTCTTGCATTTCTTTAGACGCGAGTACGCCATTCTCTTCTACATAGGCTTACTTGGGTTTTTTAAAAATTATTATCATTCAATATGTAGAATTATTAGTTATACCATCCACTTGAAGTTAAAGAGATTTTAAAAGGATAAATTAGGATTATTTTAACAGCGATGGAATAATTAATAATCTTATGTCGTCACTTATATTCCTTACTTCCGCAAATAAATAAAGCTCCTTCACATTATTTGCTGTGTCAACGCGTCCTTCTGTGAAAAATAAACAAAAACTATTTTACAACAAGCGATTGCTAATCATACAAAACAATCACAAGACATAGCCCAAAAAAATAATAATATTCAAAATGTAGACAATGTAGACATTTTACGTGGCAAGTTCGCCTCTCCGTTCCAACAAGTTCGCTCCTTCATCTGCTCCTTTTCTCACTCTTTTAATAAAAATTAAAAAGAAGAAAACGTGGCGCTCGTATAACCCGTAAAATTAACAAAACATTAACCAAATATAGTTTAATTAGGAAATACAAAGAAATAATAAAATAAAATAAATTATGATAATTATATACCAAAATTAACCCTAACTTTTATTTAGGTACAAACAAAGAACTTTGAATTCACATTCGGCCTTTTTTACATCACACCGGATTTTCGGTTGTTGATTTGCTGAATAGAAAAGGAAGAAGAAGAGATTATTTTAAATTTTACGAACAAAGTCAGTTTGTTAAAATTTTAGAAAATTCGAAATCCAATGTCTCTCATCTGCACTGACACAATTAAAATATGTTAAAGGGAGTAGGGCCCAGTCAAAATATTTTATGCTCTAAACAATGTGAAATATAACTTCTTTAAAGCGTCCCCCTTTAAAAAAAAAAAACTCCATGTATTACGAAATTCCTCGTTAAAAAATGGTTTTTTCTTCACTAGTGTTTTCACTCATTTCATGGAAGGACTTGAATAACAACTTTTGCGTTATAGCTCTTTTATAATAAGAAAAGCTGAAGTCATAAATCTGTTTTAAAATTTGAACAATAATCAGTAGGAATTAATAAAAAACAAGTAAGAAAGTTATATTCGGCGGAGACCGAATCTCGTATTCCTACCACTATGTTTTTCGCATTCTACTCTCCAAGTTCCTTTATTTGATACACATATCGGTAGCATTCTACCATATTCAGTTTAAAATTAACCCATTTTTAGGCACGTAATACATATCCATTTAAGGAGTGTGCAAAATAGTGTGAAACATTCTATCTTGTTTGCCTTATGATTAATGAACATGAAACCTTAAAAAAGTGAACAAAACAAAGATTAATCTTATGTAACTTTGTGTGGGCATGGCCGATTGGTTTCTTTTTTGCTGATGTGAAAAGTTTCAGTCTTCTAACTTTAAAAATTACCAAAAATTCAAAAATTTTTGTTAAGAAAAGTGGAGTTGAGTTCAAATTAGGCTTCTGTGCAGGCTTCCGCTCTGTCCAATTTGGTCCATTTTCAGTGCCAACCTGCGTGCAGAAACTTCCAATGTTTCTGATAAATTTAAAGTCAATCAGGACAGTGGCAACAACAAACACAACGCGGACACAAACCGCACAGGCGGACGAACATGCCCAAAATCAAGTCAGAATTTCACGCTAGTCAAGAATATATATACTTTATAGGATCGATGAAACGTCCTTTTGGGTGTTACATACATTATGGGAAACAAACAAGAAAATAAGTTTACCTCCAACTTAAAGTGGTGGGTATAACGATTAATAATAATGATTTATTAATAAATAATTTAATAATAGATTATAAAAGATTACTATTATTGCACCAATACGACTAATATGTCTTTCTTACTATAATATATATAGAAAGGTAAGAAGTGATTTCAACAATTTTTCAACTAAAGTTGAAAGTGCTATTATAGAAGGGGAAATGCTATTGTAAATCTATGTACATCAGCAATTGGGAAAGATTTTCATCTTTTCACAGTGGCACTACCGAAAACAATTCCATTTAGTGTGGTCTTGGATTTGACAGACGAGAGTTTATCGCGCGAATCTGTAAAGGTATACTTAACTCGAAGCTAAACAAAAATGCTCAATCTGATCTAAGACGTGTTATTGCAGTTCATAGCGTGAGACCTACTTTTATGAACGCTTTTAAAGGTCATAATATATTATTTTCACGCACCGTTTTTTTTTAAGAAAGCAGGCAGACTCCATTGACACATCCATGAAAGCATTAAGGATTTTGATTTCATCACTTTTTCTGGAAAAATATACATCAGCTAGTAAATCAAGAAACGTAAAGGCCGCCAAAATTCTCGCCAGTTACTCTTACACTATTATTTTACTGCTGAAAAGAATGTCGTTAGGGAAAACGTGGGCAGCATATACTACAAAGCCTAGTATTAAGTAATGGATTAAGATACAATGGGTTATAAATAAACATTTGGGAAATATCTCATATCATCTGGGTGCGGTTTGCATAGCAATTATATCTGAAACGTAATATTGTGAAAATTTGCCGCTTTTTGCCGCAATAATACGCATTTTTCTCTCTTTTCTTATATATATATACAGTCAAACCTACCGCATAAAAAAAATTTTCTTTAATATGCTATGAAAAATTATTTCTTATAGCTATTTATGAAGTTTTTGAATATTTTTTTTTGTGCGGTTTTTTTTCAGCGGTCCCTATCTACCGCACAAAAACAGGTTTGCCTGTATATGCTTTGCCCTTCGGCGTAAACATCAGACTTTTCCCTAAACTATTTAATTACATACAGAATTGAATAAACGAAAACAAGTGATTGTCGTATATCTCTTGAACTATATCCATCCGGCCCACTTTTAAAATTTGAATTCATTGAACTTTTTAGTTCATTAGAAGATAATAAAATTTTGAAAGTTAGTGTATTAGTATAGTAATGTAATGGTCGAATGTAGTAACACAAAAAAAGTGCAGCACCAGCTATCGTCAAGTTAACGCCTGAACACAATTTAAAGTTTTATCATGTATTTCTTCTCTTCTCACTACATCACCTATAGAAAACTAGCGGTTAACCTACACATGCTCTCCTATATTACCTATGGGAAATTAACCAATTTAAGCCCTTCGGTGATATTATCCACAATAGCATGCAATGGTGCGTCGAACGATAGAAATTGTCTGGTTTCAATAAATTGGAAATATTTGCTATTGTGAGTCTCAAGATTGTTAAATGCTCTTAAATGAAACTGTGATGTTGAAATGGGAATGTTCGAACGCGAATTTTCAATCACTTTGGGAATTAGCCATTTTCCTTCCTTTTGAATCATTCCCGTCGCATGTAAATATCTTGAAACAGTTTATTCATCATCTGCTAAATTGTTGGAAAGTTCTGCGAGTCTCTAGGTCGGTCTCTTACAATTCACGGTCCTTGAAATTTTTTGATCCTTCAAGGCAACATGGCTACTTTTAAACGGTTGATATCAAAATCGACATCTGAACGTGTTTGGTGGACTTGGGCAGCAGTTTTCTTCAAATAAAGGAGGTGAAGTAATGAGGATCGAAAATGCAATTTTAAGCTTTCCTTGATTAGCGTCGGCGTACGGTGAATAAATCTTGGATATTAAATGGAAAATTGATATTTTATATAGAGAAAAATCAAAATCATTGCATTTCATCGTTATGGACACTGATAATTCCCATTGCTTTTATCATTTGTACCTGTAGAAGTTGCTGGCCAAAATTAACGCAAACACCTAATACCGTAATAAGTATCTGACGAATTGAAAAAACCTCTCGTTATGGATTTAAAAACATACTATTACTCTTAGTCAGTACGAAATTTTGGGCGTTTTGCCCAGGTCGGGTTGGTGGAACTCTCTTCGCTCAAATGATGCTCTCTACTGCAGGGGAGTCCACTAACTCCTTCAAAGTCCGTTTAGTTTGTTATCAGATAAACTCTTAATATAAATAAAATTTTCACGACCGAGAGAAATGAGATTGAGAGCCGCCGCAATCCGATCACAAGGTAGTTTTATAAAATTATTTAATTTTTATACCTTTTTTCATTATAAAATTAAATATTTTACTCAAAGGCGTAACTATAGATAGATAGATAGCTATTGCGTGCGTGCATATGTGCGCAAATTTATACGTGACTTTTGTAAAGTCTAACAAAAGAATTATCGATCTTAGCTTTTTTAGAAGCAGAAAACGCTTACAGCTTGACGATGATAAGTTTTGTGCGTAATTTCCTTTGCGATTCTCTTTATGTTTTCGCAGATTGCGCATAAGGGGAAATGTAATGATTGTGCTAGCAGTCGGCAGCAGTGCGAGTGAGTCTTTGTTTTTATTTTTATTTATTTATTTTTTTTTTATAGTTTATTTTTTGAAATGAAATCATAAATATAAATTTTGTATTATATTTATATTGTTATTGTTTTTGCCTTTAAATTTCATGTCGATTAAAATCTGCTTTAGCAAAATTTTGTTTTCTCCGCATCGTATGCAAGTTTATTGACCATAAACGTGATAAAGAAGGATGAATAAACACAAAGTGTTTATATATATGTGTTTTGCGGTCTATTCTCAAAGTTTGACAAGAAGCTTTTTTTCATATCAATAAATTTGTTCATCAATGTATTTAAATTTCAATTAAATCGATCGTATTCCAATTCAGCACATCTGCAATATACGATCGTACATATATCGACTGTGATGAGTAAAAAAACGAAGCGCATATTTATGTTTTGTATTCCGGTCCGGAATACATTTGGTGCTGCCTCTCTACTTGACTACCTGCAATATACCGTGTCCAGTATACTGCCTGATTTTCCAGATGGCACTAAATGTACGAAAATGTTTTGAGTCGTCCCTTCGCAGAATTTGCTTACGAATCCGTATCTCAGCTATTTCATTTTTTCCATATCCAGTCATGGTCACGTCAGTGGCAGATTCTCAGCCTGCCACCGTTTAACACGGTTGTTTGGAATAATGCTGACAATGGCGGTATTTATATAGTTTGCTTCAAATACTTTATATAAATTGAAGTGAAAATGTTTTTTTTTTTTACATGAAAGTTGAGTTTAGACTATCCTAGTAATCGATTTACCGTTGGAGGAGCTTTATCAAGCTGAAGGTAAACGGTAATTAAATGATCTAAGTCGGCATTTTACAAGAGGTCAATTTCTATAGGTTACCAAAGGAGCGAACTATCACGGATGGTTATATAGGATTTGTGGGTCCCAATAGGTGCCCTTTTTTCATCTTTTCTTGTTGCTTTTTTGACAAGTCTCATGAGTTGTTAAGAGGAAATATTTAAAATGATCGAGCGTCTTTGAAATTTCAAGAAATAACCCTTCTTGACACTATTCAATTCTTCGGTTCAGTACGATTGAATTTGAAGATCAGATAGGTTAAGATCATTGTTCTTCGTGATACATACGCCCCATCGTCGGATTAGATTAGACATTCGTCGAATTTTTTTTTATTTTTAAATATCGAGGCAAATAAAGCATCCAAATCACATTGGGCGAGATTCAATTGATGCCTCTGCGATCTGTCTGGAACAGCAGAATATGTTTACCCGATCAATACGTTCAAATATCTCTCCACTTGTAGACGAATCTTTGATTCACTTTCGATTTCCATATCGAACTACCGAAGGACGGATGGCGTAGAGGATGTGGGTTTTCCGTTTTTAATACATTTTGCGGTACGCATCAAAGATTTGTGTTTTGAGCAGTTGAGCTAAGTTTGCGATAAATTTTAACCATCTCTGTCCGTCCATCATCTCCTGTACGCGGTCGGAAAAGTTGAGATAGAAACACGAACTTGACATATAAACCTCAAACCAAACTGCCGATTAAGAAAGATGTTTGAAAATGAAGCGAAACGGCCCATGATCACAGCGGCCCTCGGTACATAGCAATGAAGAGAAGCGAATATGATTCCATTATAACGCACTTCTCTGCGCTGAAAGCAATTAACAAACCTAATGTGTTCACTGCACGGCGAGGAGAACACAAATTATTTTTTCCTACAATTATTATTAATTGACGATCGTCTATATCTGGTCATTTGTGCGTTGTGTGGCGTTTTAAAAATTCTTTTCTTTTCTTTTCTTTTCTTATATTTCAAATTAGTAACTAATTAGTAAAGAGGTTGCAAAGGTCACAAACATAAGACGTCGATGTTCATCTCAATGAAAACATTTCCTAAAATAAACGAATTATGAAAAATACATGTGGCTTTGTGTTTTTTTTTTAAGATCATTTTCAATTGTTTATAATTATTGTTGATTTTTCGAAACTTAAGAAATTACTGCAAATATTTGCAACAATGAATTTTAAGCAAAAGAGAACCTAAGCAAAATTAAATTGTTTCTTATAAAAAGTGATATGATGCGTTACTCGGAAATCGCTAGAGAACTATCGGCGGATAATTTACGTTTTGTTGAGGTAAGTAGTAACGATAAAATTATTTGTTGTATTAACATTAATTTTTAAATAAAATATTTTTCAAAACTTAGTTGACAGATACTGATTACAGTTTGCAGCATGGTACCAGAGACTCGTCACCAATCAGTGATGCTTCAAATGGTAGCGGTCCATTTGTAAGCCAATCACCGGCAATAAATTCAGTATGCCGCCGTCATCGCCATCAAAGCCAACAACAGCAGTGTCAGTCAACACGAAATTCCTATTTGGGCCGTCGTCGTTCTAAACGTCATACTCTCGGCTATGATGACGTTAACAATGAGAACTGCAATAATGATGATGATGATGATGATGATGATGATGATAATGGCATTGATAATTATGAGGTTGATAGTCATGGAAAGTCACTAAATGATGATAATCTTTCGTTGAGCGGTCATAAAAGTAATTTTAGTGCTTTATGTGCAAGTTTACGTAATTCGAGACGCTTCTCCAGCACTGCCTCCAACGTAATAAATGATCGTGTTGCCGATGGCGCGGCTAATAATGGCGCCGCCACAATTGCTTATGTGCGTCAACATAAAGATGACAATAATTCGACGCAAAGTTGTAATTATTTAGATGATTCCGAATCGACGGGAGCACAATGCTCCAGTAAGTCCTTAAATATTAAAAGTTCACGACGTAAAAATTCTATAGGTTGTTTAACAGCCTTCTCCTCCTCACCAGATTCACCGGGCAACTACTATGGTGTAAAGTAAGTAAGAAAGAGAAGATTATCCTGATATCAAAAAAAAAAAAATTATTTCTTATCCTTTTCTCGTTTTAAATGTAGTTCCAAATCACATAGTTTACCTGGTCACTCGTCGAATAAATCATCGGGCGATACGTTAGATTCAACAATATTAAATGCTTTAAGAGTCCCGGCCGATGAGTTAGCAAATCAGTTGACTTTATTGGATTTCAATATATTTGCTTCCATCCAGCCCGATGAGTTAACCAGTTGTGCCTGGACTAAAAAAGACAAACACACAGTCACACCGAACATTGTCGCATTTACTAAACGTTTCAATCACACAAGTTTTTGGACAGTACAGGAAATTTTAAGCGGTGAACAAGCTAAGCAACGCGCCGAAATTTTGGCCCATTTCATCAAAGTGAGCCAGCCATAACAAGTGATTTCTTTTATAATAAAAAAGCATTAAAATAATTTCTTTCTTTTAGGTTGCCAAAAAATTACATGAACTAAACAATTTACACTCATTGTTCGCGATTATATCGGGAATGCAAAGTGCAAGTATTTATCGTTTAAAGAAGACATGGTCCTGTTTGGCGAAAAAGGATAAACATTCTTATGAGCGTTTAAGTGATATATTCAGTGATCAAAATAATTGGGAAAATTTACGATCCTATTTGGAAAGTCTACGCCTGCCATGCATACCTTATCTGGGTTTATTTTTAACCGATTTAATTTTTATTGATTTGGCATTTCCTCATAAAGGCGGTCTCGAGCCCGATCAACGACGCAATCGAATGAATAACATTTTAAGAGTGATAGCTAACTATCAGCAATCGAATTATTGTTACATACAAGTCAAGGCCACAACACAGAAATATCTAAATTCAATACGCTATATAGAAGAGTTGCAAAATATATTTGAGGAAGAGCAATACAAGTAATTTAAGAAATTACGAAGCAACTTAAGAAAACAGTTTTTTTAATTGCGTTTATATGCGTTTTTTTTTTAATAGAAAATCATTGAAATTAGAACCTGCGTCACCTATGGTGCCTAGCTCGTCTTCGTGCAGTTCGAAAGAATCTTGCAACGTTGAAATGATAACACCGGCTTTGGCTTGTTTAAATTTATCGCCGGCGAAAACTATAGGCTCGGTGCGTGTATCTAGTGCCTCAGCAGCCAATAAATTTATACCGGGTCATCGTAAATGCCGCAGTCTGGGTACCAAGTAAGTTCTTTTTTTTCCCCCATTTTCAATTAAGATTACCATAGTAAAAAAGAAGAAAAACTCGCCCTAAAACTTTTTCAACTCTGTTCTTTCGTGTTTTCGTCTGCTCTATCTCACTTTCTTTTTCAATCATTATTGGAACGAATATGTTTGTTTTTTTTTTTTTTTTTTTTTTTTTTGTTACTCTGTTTTTACTCTCTTCTTCTTTCTTCCTTTCTCACGGCGCATCTGAGAGTCATCCATGATGCCCAACATAATTCTTTTTTCAATTTTGTTTACACTGCAATAGATTTCGTAGTTCAAGTTTACCACGAAATTATTCACATAAATCTCATTGCTTTGCACTGATCATGTTTACAAGCTCTGGCATAATTTTAAATACTACTGCAACGCATAAACGCTGTGCTTGTTGCCGATGTTGGTGAGTCGTTTTGTTTCTCTGTTACTTTCTTGATATCATTCTTATCCATTAAATAGCAAATTTTGTGTAAATCCGCTTAAACACATTCTATTTGGAGCCAAAAAAAAAAAAAAAAAAAACGAAACAAAACAAAACAATACAAAAAATCATATTTTTCTTAAAACGTCTTTTCATTCCAAGTAAATAGAAGTTTTTATAATTTATTAAGTAATTTAGTTAATCATTTCATTATCAAGATCTGAAAATAAGATTCGTCACCTTATTCATCTAACTACTACCAGCTAACAAAAACCAGAAGCACTTAGTTTAACAATTTTAAAAACTAGTGAAATATAGATAACAATTAACCCAGGATTTAAGTTTTTAATATCATTGCAAACGTTAATGTAGCCTTTTTATGGAATTGGCGAAGATGGCTCTCTGAGTTACTAACCTAAATGCTGGAGTCGATTTAACGAAAAGATCACGAGAATGAATTAAAAAACAATACAAAGATTTGCTTTCGTACCTATCTATGACTGCCTAATATTGGGTGTTTGCAAAAATTTTGATCAACGACGACCACAAATAAAAATGATAAAGAAATGGGAAATGCCAGTGTACTTAACGGTTAAATTCCATGTTTCTGAACTTCCTCTATGTAAAGTAACTGCGTCGACGCTAATTATAGAGCACTTAAAATTCTTCTTCTTCCAAGTTCATTACTTTTGTTGTTTACTTGAAAAAAAATCCGCTGTCGAAGCCCAGCAAACATGTTCAGAGGCTGATGGTGATGCTGCTCCATCGTAACTCAATTGTCGGTTTGGGGTTCAATGGTTTAAAACTGGCGGCACGAATTTCTTGAAAAATTCCACTTTTTGGACACATTTTGCAAAAGTTATTCAAGGAGCGAATGGGAAGTTCTACTACACCCGGCATACTTACCAGACATGGCGTCTCCTGATTACCACGATGGTTTTGACCTTTCCCTACATAAAATAAAACGACACGAATTGACTGAAAATGCCATTTTTTGGCCACTTGTTGCAAGAGTTGTCCAGAGTACATTGTTGCAAAGTGAAAGGGAAATTATGCTCTACCCAGCGCACTTACCAGAAATGGCGCTTCCTGATTACCACTTGCCTGGCACGCGTTTCCGCAAAGTTAAAGAACTGCGAAAATGGGCCGGTGAGTGGATAGCTGCCAAACCAATATAAGTTCTTTCGACATGATATCACCATATTGCCAAAAGTAATGTAGAAAACGGTGGAAACTATTCTGATTAATATATATTGCGACACAATAAATGCATTTTTCAAGTGAAAAAATGATCAACATTTTTTGCAAACGCCTAATGTATACTCGTGTCGTAACGTAAACGATCGTGCGGTATAGTCAAGATGCAGAATTGAAATAATTATTCTTTCATAGCATGTTTTTGAGAATATTTGTAGCGGCATAGGTTGTCAAATTGCAAACAGGTACAAGGAACAATCAAATACTGGATATTAACAATATCGGCGTAAGTCGGTAAAAAACTTTTTTCCTTATCAAAGAGTTTCACGAAACTTCTTCTCAGCAATACCGTCCTAAAAAGATTTCCTAATCACTGTTATTATCATCTATTTCCCTAAAAAATCCATCATATTAGAAAGTGAGTTTCTCTCTCTAATGGTTTTCTCTTTTTAAAAAAACTATTTGTTTATTTAAAACAAAAAAAAAAAAAACAAAAAATTCTTTTATTTTGAATACAAAATGTCGTTTTATTGAAAGTTGTTAACAAAAAAACATTGAGAAAAACTGAAATGAGATCATTTCACTTTCAAGAATATACATCCTCTTGCTGTTTACTTATAGCATTTTCGGTAAAGCTAATGTCAACGACACATCCTCAAATGCTATTACACCTGATCCCAATCAAAGTCTATTAAGTCATCAACCATCGCGGCATTTACTGGACGATTCTGTATTGGAGACAAATGCTATAGTGGCCGATGCAAATGTTTCGTTAAATTTAAATGATAATGTCGACACGACGTTATCCTGTCATCTGTGGGAGAATGAAGCTTTGAATTTACTTAATACTCAAACGAATGGCTTGCAGGGATGTGTGCGACGTAAAACTGTACAAAAAGAAGGTCGTAAACCCGCCGTAGCCTCATGGCAACGTTATTGGTTGCAAATATGGGCTAACTCATTGGTCTATTTTCCGCCGAAATCGTTTAAAGGCAGCGAACGCAACGACTTTAAACGTGAACCGTGCAAGGTGTGCCCGCTGGATGGCTGGTATGCTCAAATTGTTAACAATCCCAAGCATAAGAACACATTTGAATTGTACAATCGTGCCTGGGGTACAACATACAAGTTCCGCACCGATAGTCCACAAACAACGCAATTATGGATAAGCACCATATGCCAGCTTGCCGTGCATAAGCATAAACCGAAATTGCAGCCAATCAATTTAATGTCATTCGAATAATGAATCGACTATGATGGCGCGTATTAGTAGTATTGACAAGTGGGCTCAGTCCTTATGTTTAATTAAGTTTATAAACACCACCTTCCTTTTGAAGATTTTTTTTTTTCTCTTTTTTTTTTTTTTTTAAACTCATTTCAGTTATTTGCAAGAGACAGAGCTTTTTACTCGAACTCAAATAATTTTCTAAGACTGATAACAAAACGAAATTTCCTATGAAACATATACACCGTTAATACAAAATCAACGAATTTTTCTTCTTGTTTTTTTTTTTTTTTTCTACTTTCGTTGGCCATAAGTTAGAGATTAAATAAAAAAAAAATAAAAAATTAAAAAGAGCTTTTTGGGGTATTATAGCAATTCAGTACATTCAAGTAAACCAAAATGTTAAAAAAAAAAAAAAAAAAAATGTGAAAAAAAAAAATAAACTTGCTCTGCTCTCTTGCTCGCTTAAAAACTTTGGAAAGACGTACTCTACACTTTTTAAGTATTTTCATTTATATATATTTACATATCTTTTGTTTAATAATAATCCAAAACGAATTTGATGTAAAGCAATTTATATTTGAAAAATATCTAGAAATTTTTCGTGCAGTTAGTATTAAATGTGCTTTTTAATATTAAATAAAAAAAAAAAAAAAAAAATTTTTTTTTGATGAAATTTTTTAAATGATTATAATTCGGAAAATGCGAATATATTTCTATTTTCTCTTATTAAGAATTAGGCTTTTCAAAATTCATTTCGCAAAGTTTTCATGTGGACGATCTCTTCTTCTTCGCTCCATTTCGTTGGCACTTGTGTTTTTAAATTGTACAGAACATTTTTATGTCACGTTTACTGATACTTATTAAATGTATTTTTAAATCACAATAGTTACGTCATAATATGCGTAATTGAAAATAAAGTTTGCAATGAAAAGAAAATACCATAAATTATATATTATTAAATAAAGGGAAGTTTAAATGCGGCCAAGAGGAAAATTTTCAATCAAAATTATATCCCGTTTTATTAAAGATGCAAAGTTATTTTTAACCCTTTGCACTCGAGAGCTCCGAAGCGAAGCCATTTAAAATTGGTCTTCAGATTCGAGGGCTCGGCTACGTAGACATTGTAAATAATTTGCTGTTCTTAACATAGAAACAAAAACAAATCGTAAAAGCTAGTATTCGGGTGTTGCGCTGTTGGTGAGAAATGACGGTCGCGGCTCGCGGATTGTAATACGAATGAAAAAAAACTTTCAGTGCAAAGGGGTTAATAATACTATCCAAGACACAAACCGAAAATTTGTTACAGTGCTGCCTTGAGTCGTTAATAGAATTCTGTTAAGTGAAGTCTCGGAGGGATTAAGTCAAAATATAGTTAAAATAGAACTTGTCGAGTATTTTTTAAAAAAATATTATAAACGAAACGACAACGACGTTATGTAAACTAATTAGTATTTGAAAGGACTTGGAAAGACTATTACTAGAGGATTCACGCTATGCTAGTTTCATTCTTTCACAAGGCATGATTTGCCTACAGTAACCTTTCAAACTTTGCTTATATGTTAACCTATGTTAAGTACGGCAATTTTCAAAGTCCTATATAAAAAATTCTGCGAGCAAAACTTAATATAATTTGTAGATCGTTGGAAAGGCTATTACTAAAGGATTCACGCTATGCCAGTTTCATTCTTTCACGGACCATAGTTTGCGCACAGTGACCTTTTAAATTTTGCTTACCTAAGCTAACCTATATTATGTTAGGTAAGGCAATTTTCAAAGTTCCGTAAAAAATTCTCCGAACAAAATTCAACATAACCTGTTGAGTTGACAGAGTAGTTTATTTTTTTTTCCAAGATTTTCCTAATGACGGTAAAATTATATCGTAAAAACATTAAACCGGAATCCATCGGCATCATAACACCGTACGAAAAACAAGTTAAACATCTGCGTAAACTTTTCGATGATGCCGACGTAGCGGCGCCTAAAATAGGTACTGTAGAGGACTTCCAAGGACAGGTATAAATTTCGTAAATTTACACAAATTTACACTCAAGTTTGAATTAATTGTTGCTTGGTTTTTTTTAGGAACGCGAAATAATATTGATCTCAACAGTGAGATCAATCAAGGAGCTTATACCTAGCGATGTGCGACATGGATTAGGTTTCAACAAAAACAAGGTACTAACTAACCTTGGAATTTCTCGATCTCGTTACCTTTTATATATATACGGTAGCCCCGACGGACTCCTTTTGAATCCTTATTGGTACCTGATTATCAAGCACTGCGTTGACAACGATACCTACATTGGTTATGATTTGCCGCAATTGTCTGTAACTTATGAATTTTAATATGTATATATATACTTTAATAGTTTAGTTTCTTGACTTGAATTACTTTTAATTATTGAATTAATTTTCAAATTTGAATATATATTTAGTTTAGTCTCAATTTTTTTTGTTTTGTTTTTCGCCTTAATTTTATTTTTTGCCTTCATTTTATTTTTTGTTTTCTGTTGTATATCAATTTATGTAATTTATGTTTAAATATAAATGAAATAAATAGCTTTATTTATACATTTAAAATATTTTATTAATATGTATAAATATATATACATATATATATATAAAAGAAATTGTTATTCTTTTTAATGGTTTCCTGATTGTTTCCGATTCTTCTTCCTTGACTTGGTCGCTTTTGCTCTTCTATCATCTCCTCTAGATATATATAGTGTTTTGGAAAATACGCGAACTAAACTTATTTAATTTTACAAGTTATCCGCCTGAGTGGCCTCAAATCTGAAGTGCTTCTTTGCACTATTTTACTATGCGCCCACCGACGATGTCACAACTATTCCGTTGGAAATGCAACACACGAGAAGCCTCTATTGCTTCTGAAACGAAATCGAGCACAGAATTCCTCTTTGAGGCCCCCAATTCGTTAAATTCATATTAATATGTATTGATATTACTCTGTTATAAAAGAATATTTTTTAAAATGCTTGTATTCTCTGGACTGCATTAACCTTGTGTCTGTTTTTAATTTCGTCATTGTGTTCATTAAAAATTTTTTCTGGTTGATATAGAATAGTCTCTTACTCAAACAACCACAAGAACATAAAAAATTGACAAACAGTACATTCTCTAAAGATAATAAATATTAATTTAATTTATCCTGTCGCTGGTTGTTTGTGATAACTTTGTTGATTTTTGAGTTTTTTTTTTTATGTGGAATCTTCATAGTTATGCTACGATGAAAATCCATCTCGGATATTTCTTTGAACACAGAACAAGTCGGCCGTTTTGTTCTGCTCTAGGGAATTCTACTGTACTAACTGTACTGTACTAAATAGAAGGGGTTGGGCTTTTAAACTAAAGAGGACTTACTTGCTTCGCTTCTTAAAAATTACACCATGATGGCGAGTCTTCTTCCTGCATATCTTTAGAACGCGTTCCGCGGAAGAATATGCCATGTGTTTTGACTCGAGTTCGTGATTGCGGCAGTAAGTCGTCAAGTTGGGTCAATATTTCCGTTTCTCTAGAATCCTATTCTATCGTTGGTATTACCAGTCCATTATAAGCATCTAATATGGACGGCAACGATCGGTAATTGCAGAGTAGTCTTGAAACTAGGCGAGGGTCAAAACAACCACATTCAATGGGAAAACGCACAACATTTTGTAAGTATGGCGCACATGAAAGAATTCTTCTCAAAAATGATGTGGATAAACCGCGTCCACGAGCATATTCGTTTATAGTAACTGCTTGAAGATTGCGATCTCCGGCAACGATGGTGTGCCTACAAGTAGCCGTGCACCGGGAAACAATCTAAATATTTGTAAAATGGTCTCCACTAGCGTTGCTGTTTTTCCTGTGCCAGGGGGTCCGAAAATCACGTATGGCATGTTAAAAATTTCTCCTCGTAGTATATTCGCTACCGATGTTTTCTGGTTGGAGTTTAGTATGTTATTGTGCCATTCACACCGGCGACTGCCTAACAAGAGCTGTCCGTGATATTGATGAAAGTGTATATCCAATTGTGGATATTCACGCGCCTGTGCTCCGGAGGGAAACAAGAATTGTTCGCCTAATTTTTCAGCCGCTCGTGAGACAGCGTAGTGCTGCTTTAATATAGCCTTACCGGGAGAGGTACAATTCTAATCGATAATCTTGGCCGTTATATTTTCGTTGAAAGTTGTCATCGAATCTAAGTAGAATTCGATTGCGGAGCACATGGTGAATCGCTCCTATATACTTCCGTTCGGCATTTTCGCCGTCGGCCCAGGGGTTTTCGGCTTTAACCCTGCCTCCAATTATCAATGAAGGACGGCATCCGAAAAGATTTTCTAAGGTAAGACCTAAATATTTTCCCTGACGTGTGAAATGGGCTCGTTCACGGTTATACATGCAGATATTGGTAAGACACTCAATCTCCTCTAAATATAAGAGTGTTCGAAAGCGATTCGTGTAGTTGCTTATATTTAACTCTTCATTAAGACTCGGAAACATGCATTCAATTGCTTCCAAAATTTGCTCTTTGCAACTTGAAGTACGATATGCCCGTTGTAGACGTTCGGGTACATTAAAGTTTCCGATGGATAACTGCAAATTATTAAACATGGAACGCTGACATTTTTCATATTTACGAAAATGCAAATCATCAGCCATGCACACACAAAGTTACAGCTAATTAAGTTTTCGTTACTTCACTTTTTTCAAGTTTTATGCTTATTAACCACAAGATAAACAAGGCGGAGTGTTTACTTGAACATTCCTCAAACTATGATATATTTTGTAGTGTGATCGCATACCGTCGTATGCATCCACTTCAATTGGCTGGATATTGCATTACAAAATGCAATACGATGCCAGGCGCCCTAAGTAAAACAATTACTATTTGTTTACGTTAGCATAATTTAGTGTAATAATTTCTGTATAAATAGCCAGGTAAGAATTGAATAAAATCAATTGCTATCAAACAATTCAATCAAGCGTTTAAATCGCTGAAAATACAAGGCGTTAAATCCGCCCAAGTTCAAAGTTAGGGAACGTCTCTTGCCGAGCTTCATTGGCACTCCATGAGACGGCTAGACTTGGCGCACAGAAGCCGAACGGCATAGGGCTAAACCGCGGTACACCAAATAATAAAAATAAACTAAATATCATTCATATATACAACATCCGTACTGTACTCAGTACCACAGAAATAACTTTTTTTTTTTACAATTTATTATCTGCTTAAAAATGCGTTAATTCTAAAATAATTATGGTGGACACGACTTGGTGGGTTAGTGTTTCCTTAAAATGCGATATGGGTATCAAATAGTTTTATACAATTTTTATAGGCGTGGCATTCGATTTTACCCTATTTTCAAAAATAAAATGATAATTCTCTTTCCATATATATTCAACCAAATGGTTTGGTTGAAATGTAATATATATTCTTTATTATATAAATGTATCAAAAATATAAATTCATCTCCCCTTGTACGTCTCCTGAATAGTTTTATACAATTTTTATAGGCGTGGCATTCGATTTTAAATGTTGTCGTAGTTTTAAGGTCTTCCCTTTTGTTCAATTATAACTAAGTTAAGTCTTCAATTGAAAGGGGTTGCTGAGTCTTCACTGCAACTGAATTCTGTATTTATAAATAAATACATAAATAAAAAATCTGCCTAACGCGCTTCCAATATTTCATATTTTTTATATAATTTCAAAAATATGCGTAAGCAGCAGAAAATATTTCAAGTATTGAGATAAGCAAATTGCACTTTGGTAGCTATAGTCATTGTATAAACAAAATTTCTCGACAATATAGTTGAATTGACTTACTAGATTGAGTTCGGATGGGGTGAATCAATTTTTTGAGCTTTTTATGTAAGGAAAGTACGCCTCTACATCGAATTGCTTGCATTAGACGAGGTCTGAAGGATACATGCACATAGGGCTGTATGCAGAAAATGTACTGGTAGTACCTGCGTGTGGCCGCATCTATAAAGTATACAAAATCGATATCTAATTTAGTTAGGTTTACTTTCTTTGTTCCCATACCGTTGATATATAAAATAGTTTGAACAGTAGAATCCGAAAAGTTAATTGTGTTAATTCAAAAGTAATTATGGTGGATGTCACGGCGGCGCATTAATTTTTCTTAAGAATATCTTTTAATACATTAAAAGGTGAAAGATAAATTTTATGTCGTTTACTTCTTTGTGACAATAAATAAAAGCATGTGGCGCTAAGGATGACAGATGCGGGCCACTACGAACCCGAGTTGGTGAAGGACCCTTGAGTCGGTGCAAATATGCAAAGACTTGACAAACGATAATATTTAAAAGATTAAAATTTAATTTAGATACGCCATAGAAAAAGGACGTCTTAATGAGAGTTGATTCTATGAATATAAAGAGTCTCCTATTGAGGTTAAGATTGATTTCGAATTGTGCAAAAGAGCCTAGAAGGGCTGAGAAGCCCGTAATTTTATGGCTACATTGGCTCAGTTTTACAAAGATAAAGCAACATTTAGAAACATTGAAGTTTTTTAGCAACGCCAGCGAACTTATATTAACTTAACTAAGACGTGCCGGTAAGGCTGGCAATAGCAATCTGTTTTCACAAAGGGTGAGATTGCTGAACGCAATTCCGGTTTCTTGGGTGGAGAATTTATGAAGCGTACACGCATTCCGCTGCCTGGTCAGGAAAAGTTCACATCAAGACGTCCGCAGTACTATCAACCATACAATTTCTATATCGGCGCTACGATAAAAGTAAAAGATCACATATTTCATATTGTCTCAGCTGATGAATATACACTTATCTACATGGAACATCATCCTCAAGAGGCAATTGAAATATATTTGCTGTTGATGATTAGCACATAAATTTTGTATTTCTCTTTTTCCAGTTCCCCTTAGCTGACATAAAACAGAAATGGGTAAAATTTATTTAATGTGTCTAAGAAAATTATAAATGTCTCAAGTTCAAAGTATCTTCAAGCCATCACTCTCCGCCCTACATGAAGGAGAAAAGGTTAAAATTAATTTAATATTTCGAAGAAAATTGTAAGTCTCAAGTTCAAAGTATCTTCAAGTTATGTCTTTACCGAGCACTCCCTGCAGACTCGACCAAGTATCGTTTACCGCATTGAAATTTGAACGCGCGGCCATTGCAAATAAGCAAAAGCTTGGCAACCGATACGACTAAACAAATTCGGTTGATTTTCAAATAATACTAAGATGTTAAGATTACAAGTTAAGAAGAAGAGTTGGATTGATAGAGTTTAAAAACTCCGATGGTGAGAATCGGTTTCATTTAGATTTTTGCAAAAGACTCTGAATGAATTGATCGAATGAAAAGCTCGCTTTCCTAGTGAAACGAGTCAGGATATTAAAGCTTATCTTACCAAGTAAAATCGGCGAATCGACATTAGCTTAGTTAGGAAGTAAACACCAAGAATAAACTTACATTTTTCAAGCGACGGCAAGACTAGTGCAGGCAATCCATATTCATAAGGAGGCAAAGAGACAAGTTCCCTAAACAAATTCCTAAGAGCAAAGAGCAGGAGTCGCTTTTGAATGGAGTCTATTAAATCTGGATAGCGTCTAAAAGAAGAAGAGCACACAACAAGGATTTGCTCAAGTATTGCTCTGATTAAACTCGAATACAGCGTTTTTTGTAGTGTAAGGATATCAAGCTCATTGGGGTACAGTTTAATGAAACTTAGTGACAACCTAGCTTTACTTAAAGAGAGCTCAACATGCAGATTAAAACGTAATATTTGGTCGAAAAGATCCGCTAAGTTCATCAACGAATCTACTTTTTTCAGTTCTCAGTAGTAAATGAATTCCTCCTTGAGAAAGAAAGATTTTTCCATTTTTTGTACCTATCACCGAAGGCGTATGTATCAAATTCTGAGTCGTAGTATCAAATTCTGAATCGTTCAAGCATATCAGTCTATCCGTCTGTGCAAAGTCTGTTGTAGACATTCTCCTGGTCACAAAACTGAAGCTGTCGACTTTAAGTATGGCAGAAACGTTCTTGCACTTCTATATAAAGGCTTGGGTAATATGATATTAAAACCATTTGGTCTATCGACTTCGAATTTTCAAATGCAAAAAGATCCTACAAGCGGTTCATATTCAATCAATTTCAATCAAAATTCAAGTTAGACATAATTTATGTAACATTTGGATGAAAAGTAAATTTTTATATTGGCAAAGTGAAAAATGTGTAAAATACGCCATTAAAATCGAGAGTTCGCTGATCGAAACGTATCATAAGTGCTTTATCCAAACTCATGGCAGCACCTACAATTAAGGCTATTCGCTTCCGTAAAGTCGTAAAAATGTTATTCCTCTCAACGGTGTCCCGGTGGGTGGTAATAGAATTGTCGAATCCATGCATAAAAATTCGACATTTAATTGATTTTTTTGCATCTCATTATATTCATCTTCAAATAAATTCAAGAATATATCTTCGGATTTATAAAAATTACGTAATATCGTCATCGATTGTTGACGGGCAGCAAATAAAACTTCCTGTTGAATTTCCGTAATATTATTAATAGTAATATTTTCCGTTGTTGGTCCGTTCCGTGGTTTCGTGAAGCTTAACAATAAATGCAAGGCCATCTCAACTGTTATCAAACGTGTACGACACGCTGCAAGTGATTGATAGCGAAAGAACAAAGAAAATGATTGAAAATGATTTGAAAAAACGAAAAATATTATCTCACATTGACCTACTGGTGGCTACCATATGGTGTGTTTGTGGAAACAAAGAATAATAGATGAAGACCTTTATTAGGCAAAGTAATGTGGGGTAGGTGTTTGGTGATTGACCTTGACTTGACATAGGCTTACTTTCAAAAACCTTTCTGATAACAGGGTCAAGTGTTGATGGTTTTTTTTTAGCCAATAATATTTTCTTAATAACTTCAATTTCGACATTTTTTCCAGGTTACGTATAATTCCATAGTTTTCAGTTACTGTCTTGTTTATCCTTAAGCAATTCTATCCTATAATATGTTGTTCAAAAATAAAACCTTTTTAAAGTTGTGGCGAATTTTTTATTACCACATAAACACTTTCCCCGACGATTCGTCGGTCGTACTAATTGCTCAAATGCACGGATATAATTTTAATTTCATCATAAGGTTTATCTGTCTTCGGATTTGCTTTAGCATTGCAGATATTTTGCACCACTTCCATGCCTTTAAAGACACGTCCAAAAACCGTATGCTTGTTATCCAACCAAGGCTACAGAAAAGTCAAAGATGTTATGACAACTAAACAATCACACAATTAAATATAACGGATAACAACTTACCGTAGGTAAAACAGTGATAAAAAATTGACTGCCATTAGTGTTGGGTCCCGCGTTGGCCATACTGACAGTGTAGGGACGATCGTGCTTAAGACTAGGCACAAATTCATCTTTGAAGTCATGGCCCCATATAGATTTACCTCCGGTTCCAGTGCCAGTAGGATCACCAGTTTGAATCATAAAACCTTTAATTACTCGATGAAATATATGTCCATTGTAGTAACTAAAAACAAAGCGTGCAAATTAATTTACTTTGACTAAGAGTAATTAATAATTCAAGTTGAGTTCTACCCATTTTTAGCATGAACACAAAAATTTTCCACGGTCTTCGGACATTCTTTGTAAAACAGTTTCATATGTATATCGCCCATTGTGGTATGAAGTGCCACGTTTTCATAAATCCTTTGAATACCTTAATTATGTATGCATACGAAAATAAAAAAAAGGCAATGATTTAATACTATTTCGAATAAAATCAACTATTTTAGTTATATACATCACGGCAAGAGCATCTTTACCTTCTTCTGTTTACATTGAAACGGTAAAGCATGTTAAATACATATATACAAATAAAACATCGCTCGAGATAATTAAAATTATTATGGACTAGTTACCTTGACCTTCCGGTACAGCAATAATATCTTCTTTGGACGGTTTCTCATTGAATATATCGCGATCAACGTCTTGAAGATCCGAAGGTAAACGTCGGCTATATAGATAAAATCGGGGTTTCCTGTAAATTACAGAAGAAAAAAAAAAAGAAAAGAAGAACAAGCACAAATGCTATAGTGAAGCATAGCCCGCCTTTAAATACCCTACACCTAATGTTCATTTAATACATACATATATGGGGAATGATCGAAAATGTGTTCCGATCCAAACCATTTTCAATATCGTTCGTCTCTAAGCCAAAACAAGTCAGCGTACCAAATTTTCATCAAAATATCCGAAAAATTGCGACCTGTAGGTTCAATAAAAGAATACGCGACGAAGAGACGGACAAGCAGGCGATCGCTATAATAAATGCAAAAGCTTAACATACTCTTGGGTCATAAGTGGGAGTTTTTAATACTCAGTATTCTAAATCAAAACGTAAATCAATATTTTAAAAAAGCGCGATGACTTATTATTATTAAATTCAGTTCATTTTCAAATTTTCGTTTTATTCGCTTTTTGTATAACATAAGGTAAATTTGTTTAATCAGAAAATAATCCTACAGGTGTTTTGAGTAAACAATTTCCGGATCATATATAAACAAAAACAAAATAAAAATTTCTCGGGGAGAATTTTTCTTAGCTTTTGTTTACTTTTACTAAAACACATGTATATTTTTTCTCAAACACATTCTGAGTGGTTTTTGTTCATTTTTAAGGCCCTGCCGTTTGATTTTCAGAAATTCTGAGATACCACAATAAAAACTTGCCAAACATAAAAAATTTAGAGCAAAAACAAAACACTTAGCGATAGTTAGAGCAACACACATACTGACAACGTCATAGAAACAATTTAAAAGAATACCTTATATGAGAAGGAAAGGCACTTATCGAAAAGCGAATTGAATTATTACTGAATGCCAGAAATTAATTTGCAAGACGACAATTATGCGGTCTTGATAACGCGAAATTAAAGACGTATCAGTTAAGACCATCAGAGACTTTTTCATACTAACTTTTCTGTCGACTTCTGGGTCCGCATTTCTTTTAGATCAGAGGGCGTTATTGTGCTTATTTGTTGGCGGATCACACCTATTCTCGCAGTAAAGTTTTAAATCGTAGAACGCAGACGAAAAATACTTTAAGATTTGAATGGACATTTATTGAGGAATGAAAGTGTTTTTCTTGGTTGTAAACGTGGTTGTAAACGACTCACACCCATTTTTAAATTTTGGCTACGGTTAAAATGCAGGAATGCGTTTGCCAAGTTTTTGGGAACTGAAATCAGACGAACTTTATAAAACTCGTTCTCCGGTACATACTTGTAAGCCGTGCAAAATAACGTAGGATCATTGGCCATTGGTTGCAAAGCAGGATTGTCACTTGCTTCCTGTTCCATTGTGATCGCTGCCTTTTTTTTGGCTTTCCCCTAAAAAATGCAAAGCATTTTAGATAGTAAAATACAAAAATTCATATTTATACTTGAAATAGACTTATATGCAGAGGTCTTATGTTGTCGGTTTTCCCTAGGATGTTAACACATCGATTGGTTTCTAGATTAATAATTTTGATACCCATCAATGTGGGATATAATATGAAGTGGCCACTTGCATCGAATATAATATTATTATGCGTGTTGAAATCCGACTTTTCTAAATCTCTTTCAGCGGCCATTCTGTCATTTGGTTGAGAATTTTAATTTAATTAACACAAAACTTTCAGTTTTTTAGCACAAGAAAAATGTTACCTTCTGCCAAATTCCATATTTGGTAAAGCGTGAGGAGTTTGTTGCATTTGTGTGTAAGTATTTAAAGCCTCGTCATAAATGCGAATCAATTTGCCGGTCGAAAATTGGAAGACACGGACTTTGCGATCAGTGGATATAGTAGCGAAACGTTTGCCATCTTGGGATATTGTCAGACCAGTAACCAGAGTTTTGCATTTGGCAAATTCAAAGAGACCTGAAATTTTTGTTCTTTTTTCTTAGTCAAAAGTCACCTTTACACATATATTTTGTCGAAACTTACTTGTGTCTAATTTCGAAGTGAATTTTACCAATTTTTGAGGAAATTTGTAATCGTATTTAGAATTTTGCCAATATTCTAAAATGCCATTGCGATCTATTGAGATGACCGTTTCCATTGGTACATTATAGGACATCACTATAACTGGAGCTAAATGTTTGTGTAGCACTTGTAAAACAACGTGGCCATCGTAAATGTAAATCTTATTTGAATCCTTATCGGTGCTAAATCAATTTTCAAATACGTTTCTTTCATATCTTTTTTTAAATACAAAAACTTACACAGCCAGACTCTCTACTGCATCGCCTGGAGAATGTATCCAACAAGCCGTTAAAGGTGTAAAATCTAACTTAATAATGTTTATCATGTCGAAATTAATAACATCAAAAATTTTGGCGCATTTATCAGCCGATGCTGAGCATAGAAGATTTCCGTTAGCATTGGTAACCAACGCATGTAAAGGCACTAAAATGCATGATAATTTATTTTTGTTTTAATTCTTTTTTTAAACATACTTAAATGACTTCGAAAATGTTTAACGAATTCGATTCCTTCATCCATTTTCTTCCAAAATTTTATATGACCATCTAGACTGCCAGTTATAACAAAATCCGTTTTCGTTGCTACCAAATGCGTAATAACATCACGATGCATGTAGCTTTTTTCATAGCAATCGGCATCAGGTAAGTTTTCCAAGTAGACCTTTTCATAAGGCAGTACTTATACGAAAATGCCAAAAAAAAAGAACTTAAATTAAGACTTTTTAATTGTTTTCTATTTACCTTTTCTCTTTTTTGATTTAGTCACGTTAGCTTCTGCAGGAAAAGGGCCTACAATCCACTCACCGTCTTCTTTTTCCCCCCTTCCGTTTTCATCGTTTGTGTCAACTAATTTATGTTTTAAATTGCTCGTTTCACCTTCTTTGCTCATAATTTATGAAGTAATTATTTGAAAAATTGCTAATTCCCTTAAAATGTTGTAAACAAACAAATCCTCTTCTTTTTCTTCAGAATATTCATTGTTGTTTGTTAATTACGATACAGTTAACGAAGCGCAGACGTTCTCGAAATACGATATGCATTAATAAGACTTTTATGATATTTGCATTAAATGCATTTGCATTTTGTATGAATTAAATTTCTGTAATATAACTGCTTACACTGCGTAAAGAAGCTTCAGCGGGAAATCGATATAATCTCAATTAGTGATTATAATTATTTCACGATATTCAACGAACTTTTTCAGATGCCCCTTTACTTGAAGTCCTTAAAACTTTGAATTGGCAACCCCAGCAATAGAATAAAAACAAAAATTCGAAAGAATCGAAAGAGAAAATAATAATTTACTCTCTGCGCTTAAAATTGTACACAATTTGTTGTTAATAAACAAGAAAAAAGTAAAACAAACTTAGGGTTAAGTTGGATAATTTGAGATTATTTAGTGCAAAAAATAATGTCAGATAATTTAAGTGAAGAAAGTTGTGACGGCATAGTAATTAAAGCGCCAGCAGAGCACCATCGTATAAGAATCAATAGATGGCGGGTGAGAGAGGGCTTTCCGGTAAGTGCTAGCCAAGTGATTTTACTGTACGAGGTTCTACCGGCCGAGGGAGATGTTGAACATGCTTCTCATAAAATTATACATAAATTCAAGACACAACGTGTAGGAGTGGTAAAGAAGCGTCTCTTCAATGACGGTGCTATTATTAAAGGGGGGTAAGTGAATTCAATGCCTTTATGCAAAGTTTTTGTTAGGGTACATGTGTGTATATCGATCCAACGGCCGTGTCGTCTGCGGAGTATTCTTTTATTCCAATACTCTATCTTGTCTTTCTTTCTACTCTGTATTGTTTGTTTGTCATATTTAGTACACCAATTTTAGAGCTCTCCGAATGCGTTCATACCACTGTTATAAAAGACATGTGTGCCGATTGTGGTGCTGATTTGCGCCAAAATGAAAATGTAAGTACACGCAAATGCTTTCTTTTTTCTTTTTTTTTTTTTTTTTCTTATTGTGCAGCGGAGAAATTCTCAAAGTGTCTAAAGAAAGCAAAATAAAATTAAGCTAAACGAAAACAAAGGCAAAAAAAGAAAAAGATGAACTGCTTTGTTTTGGTTTCGGCAATATGTGAGATATACCGTAACAGGGTTACCGAAATACATAAAACTTTTCGATTTTAGGGAAATCCATCGGAAGCTTCGGTGCCAATGGTGCACTCAATACCTGATCTGAAAGTCACTCAGAAATTGGCACAAAAGCTGGGGCACGACGATACACGGCGCCTATTACAAGATCGTAAATTGGTCTTACTCGTAGATCTGGATCAAACAATTATACACACAACCAACGACAATGTGCCTAACAATATTAAATCCATCTATCATTTTCAATTGTACGGTCCACAATCACCATGGTATCATACCCGCCTAAGACCAGGAACTTTAGATTTTTTAAATAGTGTTTCCAAACACTATGAATTACATATTTGTACTTTCGGTGCCCGCAATTACGCCCATATGATCGCTAAAATATTAGATCCGAATGGTAAATATTTCTCTCATCGAATACTCTCGCGAGATGAATGCTTTAATCCTACGAGTAAAACGGATAATCTTAAGTAAATTATTAATAAATAGATTAAGACAACAAAAAAAAAAAAAAACTTTTTTAACCCTCCGTATAGGGCTTTATTTCCTAATGGTGATTCGATGGTTTGCATAATTGATGATCGTGAGGATGTCTGGAATATGGCCTCAAATCTAATACAAGTGAAGCCTTATCATTTTTTTCAACATACAGGCGATATAAATGCTCCGCCGGAATTATCAAAGCACGAATTGGACGGTGAAGGGCTTGACTTCAAAGGTCAGCGGCTGCTATAATAGGTAATGAAAGGAATATTTCACTTATTGATTACGTTACATTTCATAGATTTGGACACATTACAAGCTGCAAATAAAGAAAAATGCGAACAGACCCTAAAAAACGAGAAAACAGATGAAAATATCGAAGAATCAGCTGATCCGACGCCGTGTTCGGAATCAATAAGCGAAGTTGTCGAAAGTACAAACGATGAAGAAAAAAGTTTAGAAACTAAGAATAATGTGGAAGAAGCAGAAGGAAAAGACCTTGAAGAGAATGCAATTCACACGGAGGAAAAGGATTTGATTGTAGATCAGAAAAAGGAAGAAACTGACAAAGTAAATGAAAAAAGTGCAGAAACAGAAGAGATCACAGCTAAAATTAAATTACCCGCAGATCCGGCGAAGGAAATTGAAATTGAAGATCCCGATGATTATCTTCTCTATTTGGAAATCATTTTAAGAGCAATACATGTCCGTTTTTATAGTATCTATAATGAGACGAAAGAAATACCGGATCTTAAGATCATAGTGCCGAAAATACGTTCTGAAGTGTTAAGGGGTTGCAATTTGGTCTTCTCCGGTTTAGTGCCGACGAATATGAAATTGCAACAATCTAGAGCTTATTTTATTGCGAAAAGTCTGGGTGCAAATGTCTCCCAAAATATAGGCGAAGGTAAAGGTCAAAACGATTAGCGAAAGACGAAATCAAAATTTCTCGATTGACCCATGTTTTCCCTTTGATTCCAGATACAACACATCTGGTGGCTGTGACTTCGGGGACTTTTAAAGTAAATGCAGCGAAAAAGAATTCGCAAATTAAAATAGTAAACGCGAATTGGTTGTGGTGTTGTGCAGAACGTTGGGAACACGTGGACGAGCCCTTATTTCCCTTGGATCGCAAGATGCGGAGCAAACAACGCCAGCCGCCAGCTCATTGTCACAGTCCGGAGCATGTGGTCAATTACAGCGAGAAATCCGAAATTTCTAGTTCCAGCGCTCAGCAGCAGAATGCTTCTGAACCGGAGAAATTCATAGACACGATAAATCCTTTGTTATCATTTTCGAATGCCGATCTTGCCGATATGAATAAAGAATTTGATCAGTTTTTTGATTCTGACTCGTCATCCGAAGACGAACATGTCGACATTGGTAAGATAGAAGTATATTTTTAAAAATGATTTAATGGGCGTGGGTTTTTGTAGAAAATCCTCCAGTGGATAAAAGTTTGCGAAAACGAAAGCGTGAAGAAAACGAGGAGGAGCGAACGCGCAAGTTTTTCACTCGTTCATCAGACTTGGTATTGGGGAACGCTTTCGAAAATGAAAATGAAGCTGAGGATGAGAATGAGAATAAAAGCTCAACCGATGATAATAGAGATGACGAAGATGATGAAATGCCTAGTGAGAAATTTAGGAGAGGTTTGTTATTCCTTGATAAGTTTATTTGTGTCAGTGATTTAATGGACTGTTTTTATCAGGGGAAGATTTGCCGTCCGATTTAGAAATTGGTTCAGATTCAAACGATAACAGTGACGATAACAATCCGGACGAGGAGGACGACGGTGAATGGAATATGATGGGAGCAGCATTGGAGCGAGAATTTCTTGGTCTTGAAGATTAATTGGAAAAACTCGTAACGCCGCACACACATCTTTTAATTATATTAATCAGCCGTAGTTTTTTTTTTTTTTTTTCTTTGTTGCAAGCTTATATATAAAGTGTATATATATATAGTTTTGAAGGTCGTATCGCTTTTAGGCAAATAATGTGAAAATTTTTGAAGCGCTTATTTTTTTATACTTTAAAATTTTAACAAAAACCCCAAGAGCTGAAGATTTTAATTATAATATAAAATAAAATTGAAAGATGCTTTTACTTTTCAGCCTCATTTTCGATTTATTTCTTATTCAAAATTTACTTGGACCACAACTCAATTCATTTTAAGATTTAGTTACACTTCTTCTTCGCCACTCATACGCATTTGCTTGAAACGGCTGATACGCTTTTTAGGCGCATGAGCATCAATAAATTTTCCTTTCGGTAGAGGTTCGGGGTCTATCAATGGTTTCTCCATCACATCATTCATGACCTAGAAACGTATTAATCGAGTTTAAGCAAAGTGATTATTGTTGTTCTCCTCATTACTTTATTTATTACCTTATTGTAAGCACTCATGTACTCTTCATCATCGAAAGACGCAGACTTGTTATTTAATTTTGTTTTTGATTTTTTGTTAGTAACCTCGGAGTCTGGATAATGATTTTCCACTTTCACTGCTTTTTTATTACGCAGTATGGATTTCACTTTTGCAGCGGGCCTTGAGAACTGAAGGAATGATTGGAAACAATTAGATTGGGAGCTTGTAATGAGTGGTTATGAAAAATACCTCTAATTTTGGATCTTGGAAAGCTTCTTCACGATCGACTTCTTTCAATATCGGGGCTTTTACTTGATCTTCGCCGGCGTAGCTGTCCAGGTATAAAAATTTTAATTCATTCTCCTTTCCTAATGATTTCATATAACGATTGTAAAAATCAGCGGGAGTTCCTGGTAGATCTGCATAAGTTTCACTTCGATTGTTATCGTCTTCTTTAGAATCGGTATGCTTTGGCTCTTGTGTGGAATGTTGAAATTTTATATGGAAAGTTTTAATTTGAGCCATACTTGCCTTCAGAATTTGTTCGACCATATTAAAATCTTGTTTACTTTGATTCTCTTCAATAAACTGCAGATTTTGTTCAACTCTCGATTTTATCAGGTCTTTTTTATTTTCTATCGAACTTTCATTTTGCCTAACTTGATTTTCTATTGGCACATCATCCAGTTGTATCACATCCCGTAAAGGTTGAATTTTCATTTGTGTTACTGTTTCATTTTTACGAAATTCTAAAGTTTCATCTTCCAATGCAAACGAGATTCGGCGCTTTTGTGAGGTCTTCATTTGTTCGCTTTGGTTATCGATGAAGTATTGATGGTTTTCATTTGTCATATCAATGTCGGAATCTTGATTTTCTTTATCTGTATTGCCTTCGTCAAATTCTTCTGCGGTTTCTAATAGATCTTCTAAATGTTCTAATACTGTTAAAAGACGTATTTTCTCATCCAATTGTTCAGGTGTTTTCAAAGGTAGGGTGGATAATTTTCGACGTATGATTTGCAGTTGATAATCGTAGAAGCCGATCTGGTCAAAAGGACTTAAGAATTTTGCTTGCTCAGTGATAATTTTTATTTCCTCTGGCAATTCCTCATCCGAACTACGATCTTCCAACTGATTATCTGTTCTTAATTCCGGGTTAGGTAGAATGTTGTTATTAGTGGCTGGCATGATATCGCTAATCTCATCCTTTTTAACAATGCCTTGTTTTTCCTCATTTTCTACTCCTCTAAGGCAATTGTTCTCAACTTGTTCTGCTTGCTTTTCGTGGGAAATTCTATTCCTTTCCTTTGGCACTTTCATATCACCACTTATCAGCTTATTTATTATTTCTTCAGTCATATCGTTTATTTCCAAACTGTCCAATTCTTGTTCCAACTCTTCCATTAACTCAGCTTCCTCAAGCATTTTAAAAACTTCTTCATCGCTTTTTTGGACGCTATCCCTTTCAGTTTTTTCTTTTAATTTAGCCTGTCGAATTCTTTCCCTATGCTGTCCCCGCCACACTTCCTCTTTTTGTTCATCATAGTCTTCAATAATATCCCTTTTCTCACCGACCGCTAGAACCCCGTCCTCATACGGCTTCTGTAGCTTATTCCTAAAAGTTATTTAAATGAATAACTGAATGGGAAGAGAAACAAACTCTATCTGCATATATATTACTTACTGCCATAATTCGGCTTCAACTTCTAATTTCTTCAAGTGTTCCTTAGCATTTTCGATACGCAGCTCACATATTTCTCTGGCTTTGTTTGTAGAGCATTTGGAAAAATAACCTTGATAGTGACTTACCAATATTTCATTAGTGTGAATAAGCTTTCCTGGCATGAAAGCTTTCGTTCCCACCGGCACCATAACATCAACATCTAAATGTTTAATAAATTTTTTCAAATTTTCAATGCCAACTTTTGTTTCTTCGAGATAATTTTTCCATTTTTCTATTTCTTCGGCGTTTTTTTCTAATGCCTGCAAAACAATAGGATTAATTATCGATTTTTTAAAAACCGATCAAAAAGACTTACTTCTGTTAAAACACTCTCACGTTTTTCCATTTTGATAACCACCGATGTTGAAATTCCACGTTCCGATCATTAATTAAGAAATTTTAATTATTCTAAAGAATGTAAACAAATAAACATGTGCACAAAATGCAACAACAAAATACACCGGGTACTGGATTTACAAAATAGTATTACCACACACGGTACTACTTTTACATCAAAAAAACCGAACACAGGAACTACACACGGTACAATTTTTACAGCAACAAAATACATACGGTGCTACTTTTGCAGCAACGATATACGTACGTTATTATTTTCATATCAAAAAAAACAAAAATAGGGTTTTTTGGAATTAATCGTTTTCCAACACTAATTTTGAGCGCAGCTGGTTTGGCAGTAATGTTTACTATCGTAATTTGAAATTGTACTTTTTTTTACGAACGCAATCGCTAAATATATGAAGTTAGGAAAAAAATTTTTTCTGATCTCTTAATCTAACTAAAACTAACTAACTTAATCTAAACTGAAAGCCATAGTTACGCAATATATTATAAAGCGTGAGTTAAAAAAATTGTAATACAATTTGATTGGATGTTTGGTGTGCTTTTTTCAAATCGTTTCAAAGACATATTTCTTTTATTAGATTGGTGCATCTCCATTCAACATACCAAAAAAAAAATATTAGATTGGTGTTGCTGGCAAATATTTTTTCAAGACAAAAAAAAATGTCTGGTCAATATCCTGGCGGGTACAATAATGCCATTAGTGGTCATCGAGGACAGTTTAATGCTCAGCAACAACAACAACAGCAGCAGCAGCAAATGATGAATCAATTACAAATGGGAGGACAGGTATGCTCCAAAATAGTTCCTACGTGAGAATGTGATTATGTAACGAAAATTTATTTCATTCTTATTGTTATATAATACAATTTTATTTCGACCAATTATTTATTATAAAAAAATATAACTAATTTTGGTTTCAATACAACTTCCACCAATTATTTATTATAAAAATAATTCATAGCACGGAGGGCCTGGTGGCATGATGTCCATGGGCTCCATGGGCTACAATCAAGGAGGTATGATGCAACAACAGCAGCAGGGAATAGGTCCTGGAGTAATGAACCCCGTCGGTATGCAATCTCCTTCGCATGTTCAGCAGCAATTAATGCAACAGCAACAAATTCAAATGCAACAGCAGCAACAACAAATGGGACCACAAATGGGTATGGTAAATCAACCGGGTTTAAGCCCACAGGTAAAAATAATTATTTTTTAAAAATTTTGACTTAGCCGATTAGCTTCGCACTTATCGTTCCAAATTCGGTAAAGTCGTTTAGGAGAGAGACCGCGAATTACTCGACCTTAATAAATTTAACTTCTGTTATTCGAGATTAAGTTCACGTTAATATTATTATGACCGTTACACATCGTTCGGCAAGCGCCCATATGTTGTTCTAATTAATTCATATCAGTTTGTTTAGCTGCCGCAGCGGGTGAACTTTCACCCAAAACGATTAAAATAAAAAAAATCTTTGGAAGAAAATTCTGAAAATATTTCCATTTTCAAAATAGATGACTTATTTAAGCAAGGCAATCTCAAAGAATATATATAAGCTGTTGGAAGAAGATGAAAACCTAAACATTTGTTAACTTATCATATCTTCTAGGTGATGCTACAACAGCAGCAGCAGCAACAACAACAATTGCAACAAGTCCAAATGCATCAGAATGTCAATATGCAGCAATCACAACAAATTCAAAATTCTTCGGGCGCTGCTGCGAATATGATTATGATGGCTCAGCAGCAGACGCAACAGCAGCAACAACAACAGCAGCAACAACAACAGCAAAGTCAGATGCAACAACAAGCTCAACAAGCACAAACACAACAACAAATGCCACAAGGAAGTGGCAGTCAAGGAAGTCAACAACCTGCCAATAACATAATGTCTATTTCTCAGCAGCCTCACAAGGAAATAAATATTGTTGCGCTATCAAGAGTAGGGCAGGAAACTGTGCAGGATATTACTTCACGCTTTCAAGAAATTTTCACTGCTCTTAAGGTCATACAGCCAACAGCCAACCGCGATAACAGTACCGTTAAAAAGGTTCAAGAGCACTTTCGCACTATAAGATTGCTGTTTAAACGGATGCGCCTAATATATGAACGTTGTAATGATGGTTATCCCCAAGGTAAGAGTAAGAGTTCAATTATTTTTTTATTAACTTGATGATAATTAAGTTGTACTTAATTCTATTAAAGGCATGGAATATACGACAGTAGAGAGTTTGATACCATTCAAAGATGAGCCAGAACACCGCCTAGGCCTAGAAGCAACTCAGTGCGAAGAATATCGAAAGGCTTTACAGGAAAATCAGGAACTAATTGATACCGTGAAATTAAAAAATCGTCAGTTACGTGAAATTATTGATCGTACAAGAATTATCGTGTGGGAAATAAATACAATGCTAAGCATGAGAAAATCTTAAACAATAGATTTTTATAACACTACTTTAGATAGTTTATTTTAGTTGCAGTTAACAAGCTATTAGGCACAACAAAAAATTATATAAAGTAATTATATTTGCAGCCATTTCAAAGGAAGCAATGCAAACATTAAGTGCTTAATTTAAATTTATTTTTCCAGGCAGCCATCTTGTAAGTCTATACACTTCTTCCAGCGATGCTTTGGTCTTGAATAAGTCCAAACACTGTTTGGAGCCTGCCTCTGTTTGGAGGTCTTTACTTTCAGTTCAACTATCTGAGGCGGCCTGCATTTCTCCAATCCAGGAAACAACTTTTGCTACTAATTTGTAACCTATTGTTTGGAGAGTGTTGGGTTGTCCGAGTTAATTGCAATCGATTTTACACATTGGCTTCTTAACCAATGAAGGAAAGTTGTGTGTTCATGACTGGCAAGTTGGCAAAAATGGAAAACGATTTCTTTTGGTAGAAAAAAGAAGTAACGAAATAATTTGATGCCATTGGCTTAAAATAGATACCTTCACTGTCTGGGGTAGAACTTTTCCTTACTGATTACGTTCAAGTTCAGGCTATAGAATTGGTCAATGACGGCACAGGTTTAGGTTTTGGTCAAACAAAAGACGTGAATTTGGTGTTTGTAGTATGTCAACCGTTTTTACACGCTGAAATTTCTGTGAAGGCACTAGATATAGTGTGTGATAAGCCAATGAGCCTGAATCAATCCGATGCTATGAAAATGGTAAGGGCGGCTCAATAGTCCTCATCATAAAGCACAGGAGTTAAAGCGAAGTATGCGAGGATGCGTTGCATATAACCCCATCCTGCATTTGGTTTATCACGGTCTTGCAAGCCCTTTGTTTTCTCTCCCCTTTACTAATAAAAAGGGAGCATTTTGAAAATATAAAAATTGATTGCTTTGGTTGCGTAGGAATAGCTTTTAAAATGTGTACATTAAACGCAACTAGACGTTAATAAGAATAGATATTGAAAAAAGCTATTGAATAGGTTTAGCAAAGAATAATTGTATGTTTTCCTTCTATCAGTGCACCTTTCTGATATTTTAACTTTTGCTGCACTTATTTGAATTGAATCATTGGATTAGTTTAAATTATTTAAGAGAAGTAGGTAATAATAATTAAAAATATATAATATTACAATTATTAAGTAGAAAAATTAAATAAACATGTGCAATACCAATTAAAAAATGCTATTTAATATTATAAATTTTTTTTCTTTTGGCTTTTTGAATTTGCAGACTTTGGTGATATTTATGCGGAGTTGCTAGGATTTATTATCAGACTGCTCAGTCAGCTACTATTTTAAATCATCTATGTCAGCTATAAAGTAAGCAGCTGTTTTCGTAATTAGCTCTTAATGAAAAAAAAATGAAAACAACGGCAGCAGAAGCAGAAGTTACTTGAAAATTAATAAAGAAAATTTGAATTTGTTGTAAGTTGGCCTACGTTTCCGACTTTCCTGCTTATAATCACAACAATTATATCAGCTCCGCAAGTAACCGTTTCTAATAAGCAGATTCGAGCTACCCCTTCAAAGCGAAGAAAAAAAATGTGTAAAATTTGCAGGCGAATGTAAACAAACGTTTAAAGGAGTTACAAAACATATTGACGGATTAAATGAATTAAAGACAAGAATATTTAGGAGACTTAAATAATGAATACACAGAGGAGTGCGGAAAAAAATTACAAACCATTGACGACCGCTTCGGGAAATGATGGAAATGATACCTTCATCGCTGATCATTTCCGTTATATATACAGTTCTTCATTGCATGAATTGGTGCAAATTAAAATGTAAGCGTATTGTTATGATTCAAGTAATGTTGTGTTTATTGTGCATTGTTTGCATATAGAGGGACTTTGGAAGGGAAAAAACGCCAACCAGACTATGAAAAACTTCTAGAGGATCCCATTTTAAGATTTTCAGGCTTATACTCTGAAGAGTGTCCTTCGTTCCAGGTGCGATTACAAATCTATAATAAAGGGCGGCCTTATTGTTTGCCAGTGACAACGTCATATAAGGCTTTTACAAAACGTTGGAGTTGGAATGAATGGGTATCTCTACCCTTACAGTTTTCCGATCTACCACGTACATGTGTTTTAGTGTTAACTATATTGGATTGTGTGTGCGCTGGGCAGCAAACAGTTATTGGTGGCACTTCAATCTCATTATTCGGAAAGGATGGTATGTTCCGCCAGGGTATGTACGATTTGCGCGTGTGGATAGGCGTTGAAGGGGACGGCAATTGCCCTTCAAAAACTCCTGGCAAAGGCAAAGATTCGTCTAAATCTCAAATGCAACGATTAAGCAAATTAGCAAAAAAGCATCGCAATGGTCAAATACAAAAAGTTGATTGGTTGGATCGTCTGACATTCCGCGAAATCGAATTAATTAATGAGCGCGAGAAACGTATGTCTGATTATATGTTTTTAATGATTGAGTTTCCAACAGTTGATGACTATTATAACGTAGGTATATCAACACTTGATATAAACACCGACTTGACATTTCTTTTTTTCTTGTATTTTAATTTTTAGTATTCGATCGTCTATTTCGAACAGGAAGGTGATGAAAACTATAAAATTATTTCTAAGCCGAAACTAGTTACAGTACCAGACTCTGAAATCTTGCAGGTACAGAAACCATGGTAATCTTTTGCTTTTTTTGATTTTTGCAAGTTATAACGACGAAATTTAGCGCCTTTCAAGGATTGGTAGTGCAAGTGGAGAGACACTAGAAAATTATTAACTAACTTCGGCTTGAATGCCCCTAAGCCATGACAACTACTTTATTTACAAATTTTTTTAAAAGAATTGGAAGTAATAGAAATTTACATAAACGATAGCTTTCTTCTGACTAAAATCCGAAAATTTTCAGCTTGGTCGTTTAGGTTTCCAAAGCAGATGGTGGCCAAGTTAAAAATTAAAATTAAATATTTGCCTAATTAAATTTTAAAAGTGTCGCATTTTCTAGTGCTGATTCAGATCAGATATTGGAAAAGGAAGTGAGTCGTCATAGACGTGCTATTATGTACACCTTATACAATATGCGCTTGTGTGAGGAGCGCGTCGTTACTATCGTAAATATTGTAAATATGTCGCCATTAAGTAATAGGTACAAAAAAAAAAAATATTAATAAAAATAATAATAACAAGAATCGTAGAAGAGTGCATTAGCCATTGTTATGTTAATCTTATAGTTATACAAACATTTTTGCAGTGGGCTGCCTGCAAAAGAATCGCAGAGCAACCTACTTTAACAAATTATGTGGGTTTATCTTCTATACTATCTGAAACTATTTCTCACTTCCATTACAACTACCGCGGATTATTTTCTATACTATCTGAAATTATTTCTCACTTCCATTACACCTATCACGAATTATTTTCTATACTATCTATCTGTTATTCTAGCTCTATGATGTTACAGGTTCAGCTAAATAAACTTTATGTTAACGTTTCTTCGTTTAGGAAAGGGGGCGTAAACACCATACAACAGATAGTAACCACACTAATTGATTCTAGTAACCGATATTAACCACACTTGCATGAATTATAATCAAAATAGCTTCTACTAACCGATGTTAAGCACACTAATAGCGCCTACAAACAGATATTAACCACAATTGCATGAATTCTGATCAAAATTTGCTGTGAAGCTAAATAAACTCTCTGTTAACTTTTAATCGTTTAGGAAAACTTAGTGGAGCGTAAACACCACTCTCTGGCGCGTTCGGAGCGTTCGCGGATTTCGGATCGTGATGCTAAGCCTACAGCCAGGTAATTTTGTTTATTTTGAAAATAAATGAAATAATTTTTTCTTCGTAGCATACGTGATCAGTTGCATACGATTGTCTATCGATATCCACCCACTTATGTTTTGAATACTGAAGAACAGGATCTTTTGTGGAAATTTCGCTTTTATTTATCAAGTCATAAGAAGGCTTTAACGAAATTTTTGAAGTGTATTAATTGGGAAACCGTAGCTGAGGTACAGCAAGCACTCTCTTTACTTTCGAAATGGGCTCCTATGGATGTTGAAGATGCTTTGGAGCTTTTAAGTCCCGGCTTTAAAGATCCTGAAGTGCGTAAATACGCTATTGGCCGTTTAGCTCAAGCACCCGACGAAGATTTATTATTATATTTACTGCAACTTGTGCAGGCTTTGAAATACGAGAACTTTGCAGAAATCCAAGAATCATATAAGAGATTTTATCCTGATCGGGACGTAGTGCGTTCGCTGGACGACAATTCCACTTTATTTGATCAGAGTTCGTTGTGTTCAGAGTTAGGTGGTAAGGGTAGCGGGAGTACTTCGTCGATGATGACAACTACGCAACGCACACATCTAACTAGTGGTTTGTCCAGTACTGGAGGAGTGCAAGTGGAACGATCCACGGCGATTCCATTAAATATATCAGTGAATTCTTCTGATGAGAATGAGAACAATAGCGTAGCTTCTATCGGTTCATTAACTTCGGACGTTTCCAATACACTTATGAGTGACAATATACCATGCAGAAACTCGGCAATGGCTACGGTTGGTCCTCCAAATCTTTGCACATTCCTTATACATCGGGCATGTAAAAATCCTACTTTAGCTAATTATCTATATTGGTATTTGTCCATTGAAGTGGAAGATCAAGAGTCTATACGCAAACAGGATGAAAGTGTTCATGAAATGTATGACATGGTCTTAAGAACATTTCTAAGGACTTTAGAAGGCGGTAAGTAAACAAAACTTCATCAAAAAGATGAATTTAATATTTTATTGTTTCTCAGGAAGCTGTGAATTACGTGGCATATGTGGTAATCTTAGAAAACAGCAGCGTTTTATCGATGAGCTGGTCCGTTTAGTTAAGTTGGTAGCTAAAGAGCCCGGAAATCGTAATAAAAAAACGGAAAAATTCCAAAAATTACTTATGGAAACGGATACTTTTAAAATCAATTTCACGAATTTTGATCCTATCCCGTTTCCGCTAGATCCCGACGTACACATAACAAAGGTTGTTCCGTCGAAAACATCCCTCTTCAAAAGCGCTCTAATGCCAGCCAAGTAAGTTTCGATCTCGTTATATTATGAAAATAATAAATATTTAAATATCTTTAGATTAACTTTTGTAACTACTGTTGCATCCCACGAATATGTGGCAATATTTAAGCATGGTGATGATTTACGTCAGGATCAATTGATCCTGCAAATGATTACTTTAATGGATAAACTATTAAGACGAGAAAATCTTGATCTCAAGTTAACCCCTTACAAAGTATTAGCTACTAGTTCTAAACATGGCTTCTTGCAGTATATTGACTCATGTACAGTAGCTGATGTTTTGGCACGAGAGGGAAGCATACATAATTTCTTTAGAAAATATAATCCCTGTGATAACGGTCCATATGGGATTTCACCAGAAGTCATGGATACCTATATAAAAAGTTGCGCTGGTTATTGTGTAATCACATATCTCTTGGGCAAGTGTTGATCATTCTTAGCAGATAAAGTGAGTTTAAATATTTTATATTAATTGTAGGAGTGGGCGATCGTCATTTGGACAATCTCCTATTGACAACAAGCGGTAAATTATTTCATATTGATTTCGGCTATATATTGGGCCGAGATCCAAAACCCATGCCGGCGCCTATGAAATTAAGCAAAGAAATGGTGGAAGCAATGGGTGGTGTCAGTTCGGAACATCATCATGAATTTCGTAAACAATGTTATACAGCTTATCTCCATCTGCGCAGACATGCGAATGTCATGCTGAATTTATTTTCTCTAATGGTTGACGCTTCGGTGCCAGACATAGCTTTGGAGCCCGATAAAGCTGTGAAAAAAGTGGAAGAAAATTTACAATTGGGCTTAACCGACGAGGAGGCTGTGCAACATTTGCAATGCTTACTGGATGTTTCTATTACTGCTGTAATGCCAGCTTTGGTCGAACAAATTCATAAACTTGCTCAATACTGGCGCAAGTAAAGCTCCGAGTTATATAGCGCCTATACTCCTCTTAAGTGGCTCCGAATTTGGCCTTAATGCTTATCTCGAGTCTGCCAATGGGCACTGATGTGATAATATCAACGAAGTACTCTTTGACTTAAAAAAGTTTAAAAGTAATAAACCATTGAGTCGATGGGTTTAGTTGTTAGTGCCCTAAAATTCAATTGTTTGCTATAAATAAATTATAACGATAGCAATAATATTTTCGAACAATTTGTGATAACTGAAACAACATTTTTTGTAAAATTTTTTCTCACCTGACTTTCTAAGGTATTCGAACCGTTTAGAGACAAAAGCAAGGGATCCATAAGTTAGGTGGGCTTGAATTTCAACTGTCGCCAAATGAATTCATCACTTTCGCAATGTGCCTCAAGAAATCAATTAATAAATTCTCTCTTATACTTTCTACACATAACACACCTTTATATTCCGATTTAATATCAAATCACTATTTGTCTGCAGGAATACAAACAAATCCTGCAGAATTCCTTTAACTTTCTCTTTTAATGAAACATATAAATAAGTTAATAATCAAATCGTTTAAACTGGAATCTGCAGCTGAATCACTCTTCTGATAAACGTACAGAGCTTCAACTGTCTGCGAAATGATTCTTCAGGTTTTTTGATGAGCTTTACAAGGTTGGTGGGCGGCGTTTATAACAATATTTATAGTAATGTTATAATAATTTATTTTTTACAATTGTTTATTGGTATGTAGCTTTTCCACAACATTTTCTACTTCTTTCTTCAATACTTTTTTAAGATACACTTGCACGTTTTCACTTCAAGCTTTCTTTATTTGAAAACCGTTAGATGGTTTTCTTTTTTACATGTAGAAAAAAAAAAACCATTTATCGTGAATAGATATGCCGTTGAAATATGGCAACACTACATCAAGCTTTAAATCTCTATCATGAAATAAAGAAGAAGAAGAACAAAATTAGTTCAGTTCCTCTTAAAAGCCGTTTACATTTAGATGAAAGATTACAGGACAATTTTATCATAATGGCAGTCAATATGAAAAATATTCTTTGAAAAAGTCAAATTTTGTACTTGTGAAAAAAAATTTCAAATAAAATTTCAATAGAGAAATTGTAGTTAAAGCGGGGAAAGAGGAAAGAGAACATCACATCTGGCGATACGTAGAGAAAGATGGTAAGGACAAGGGTTTTTAATGTTTTATATTTAGTTTTGAAATTTAAAAATAATTTTATTAGGATGTTGTTCTAAATGAATAAAAACGATTATGAAGCCAATGCGTGGATAAAATCTCAAATGATAATGCTCGATACCAACCAAAAACAAAAACATATACTTAATGGCGTCATAATAAAAATGAACTTAACCTAATCCAACTCGAAAAGAAAAAAAAAAAAACTTGACCTGGACATCCAGCTATATTCTCTAATGCGTTTGCAATAATACGCCTACGCAAACTTTCATTTGTGAGCTGCTACTAAGTATCCTAAAGAGAAGGCAAGTAATTGAGTTTAAATCCAGAACCAAGATAATCCTCCTACTGATGATTGAACTAAAGTATCTTAAAAAACACGAACGAGTCAGCTTACAACAAGAGCCAAGACAGTCGAATACAATGGCTGCCATGGCTTTTTGAAGTTCTGCGACAGTGCCATGCAAAGAATACAAAAGCAACTATTCAGTTCAGTTATTTGCCAATCATTTTGGTGTTTATTGCATCCGCTAGTCTTTATTAAAGATCTTTCTTTGGTTTTCAAGATCTTTCATCGTGCCCAGACCAAGTGTTTGTCGAACTTTTGATGTAACGCTGGAAAAGAATCTGTTTCCTTTTTTTTCTAAATTTTATCTAATGTTTATATTTAAAAAAATAATCTATAAGTTTTATGTTAGTGTTTAAAGGAGAAGATCATTGATGGATTCGATTGTATACTACCGCTGAAGTGTGACTTGCAATACGGATTTAATTCGTTAGATGTTTCTAAACTGACCTTCTAAAGGTTTTAAGGTAAATTTTATTATAAAAATTTATAATTTTTAATATTTCTGCTGGTATACATAGCAATTTATGGACTTATGGACCATATGGACTTAATTAATGTCTAATATTGAAAGTTGGGACGGTGTGAAAAAGCGAGAATACACATTCTGCCAGTAGTTAGATAAATACGTTATCATTGTCTTAAGAAAGACGAGGTCCATCATTTTCTTTGCAAGTCTTCAGGGAATATTATCAGGCGATTGCACGATTACGAACAATATCTGTATGGTCCTTTGGTTGTTTGGATAATGCTTCCATTTATTATGCGAATCGGTTGCTGCAACTGCTGCTAAGAGATTTCTTGTAGATATTATTTTTTTATCGCTGAATTATCTAAATCAAAATGCACTCTATTCAGTGCTTTTTGTTAAGAAAATGAAGCATAAATACTTGATTTGCTTTTATGTTTGCATTGCAGGCAATAGGTGACAGTAGTGAAAGGTTGTCCTAATGTATAAGGAAATAGTACATAGATAAGGGAAAACCTTTTTTAACAAAAAACCATTAAACAAACCTTTAAGCTCAGGAAAGGTTTCACAAATGAGTAGGCTATTCATATACAAAACGAAAGGAATTTAAAGTAAATTGAAGGTAACGATCGTTGCTTCCTGATTGAATCGAACAAGCGGATATAATAAAATTGAGGAAGTTGTCGAATCTGTGCGACGAGTATTTTGTCGTTTAAACCAAAAAAAAGTTATCGAAGTCGTATATCAGATTTTCTCACATTAAATGCGAACTGTCATTCGAAGGCTTCTTTTTCTTTATATTAGCTGTACACGGATTACGTGCGAGCATATCGATGCTGTTTTGCTATTATCCACTCCGCCGAAAGATATTATATCTATCACAAATAGAAAGATGACCTGAGAAAACACTAAGACATGACATCTTGTTCAACCATATTCAATCAATCGGCAGTAAAATTATTTGTTCCCCACATAAAATTGCCAATGTCTACCATAAGCTTTCCAACTTTAAAGTTGCCTCTGCTCGGAATCATCTGCTTGAACATTTCGAAGTTTACAACGTCTGTCGCCCCCGTTTGGCACGGATCGCACAAGGAACGTGCACGATCTACGGGATTTACCTATCGGCCATTTCGTAGGAGCCATAGCCCTTGTAAATTCGCTTTCGAAGCACATTGTTCCCTTACCACGCGCAGCCGATGTGAAAAACAAAAGCAAATTTTTCAACATGTCACAATCTGGAAGAACTCTCTTAATGCCCGCTGTACTGCAAACTGAAAAACGCTCGAACCGATCCGCATGCTAAATGGAAGTATTGTCCAAGCATCCAAAGGACCACATTAGTCCCGTTTGTAATCGTACAATCACCAAATAATATTTCTGAAGTTTTTTAAAAGAAATTTTGGACTTCTTTCGCGATAACCTTCTTAGGAAAATGATAATTTATTTGTGTACTCTCCGGCAGTGTGTGTGTTAGATTTTTTATTTCTCAAATTCATATCGAGAACAGAATTAGCTACTCGTTCTCCCTATCTGCAAATCATTTAAACAGCCATTGTGTAAAAATTTAAAATTTTCACAATAATAATTATGTTAAAGCCTTTAGACAAGATTGTGAAGCTCATATTAGAAATAACTATCGACTTGAATTCGTATTGCAACGATCGCAATACGAATCGCAACTTCAGCGATAGCTTCAAAGAGACAATTAAATCGGGTACTCGATCGGATACCTTTTCTTGTTCATGTTCTTGTTCAATTTACATTTCTGTCATCCGAAATGCCTTAAATCAAGTCGTCCAATGGGTCTTCCATCATTTTACGAGATGGGAAATTTGCATTTTGCGTACCAGAACCAAAGCACAAAATGTTTTAATTCGCTCGGCGACAACTTTGGCATTCTGTTGTTACAGCCAATGAAACAGTACTTTATTGCAACAGTCCGCTACGTGTTGTCGTCGCCATTTGTGTAAAAGAGTCTGGCGATTTATTGTGTCGGCCAGAATTTGTAATCCAACGTCCGGTCGGTTACGACGAAAATCGACTCAACAAATTACAGAAGAGAAAACCTGATTCGATAAATTTTTCGATTTTTTCAAAACAAAATTTTTTTTCATTTTGTTAGTCTAAAAAAAACACGCCTTTAATTCCGGAATTCTAAGCTTTGTAAATGCTCCTTTGCAATCTAGTGTTGACCACTTTTGATGGATGAAAAATCCTGTTAAAAGATATACGTTCGAGATCGGAGTCAGATTTAGATCTAACTCGCACACTCTTACTTTGTAATGCTAGCTTGTACTTTATTGCATTCTTTCTTAACTTTATTTTATCATAAAATTTATTTATATAAATTAATTATTTTAGAAAAATGTATTAAAAATATTTTTAAATATATTTCATGTATACATGCATAAAATAATAAAAACAAAATGAAAATATTAGATATGATATTCATGCTACCCATAGTTTATGAGTTATTTATTTATTTTCTTCATCTCTCAAAATTTGCTTTTTGTTTCCTTCTTTGTTATTGTGTTAATAAAATGGATCTATGCTTTTAGATTATTATACCCATCAACTGAAGGATGCGGACACCCAAAAGGAAGCTTCATAGACCCTATAATGTGTACATGTTCTGATTCTGAACCGATTAGCCATTTCTGTCCGTCTGTGCAGTGTCTTTAGAAAAGATTCTCTTTTTGTCGTTTTTCTTTAGGATCAAGATGGTGGATATAAAAGATTCAGTCGCAGCCATATACAATTTTCTTACAGCATTTGTGGTATAATTTTATATTAACTTCTTGGAGATGTATGCAACATCCAGTAGGACTTGAGATAGCCCGGCTCTCGACGTTAACCGTTAATACGTAGAATCTTGACACGTTTAGAAAAAACCGATTTCTTAAGGATTATAACCTTAAGTGCCTCGAGCTTCTACATATAAGTGGGGAACTGAGATTTGGCCCCAGCCGAGTATATCATTCTTATTCATCTTTTGATGAGCTTGTGTTATTAATAATATTGACAAAAAATAAAGAACTTTTTATAAAGCAACGAATAGTAAGTAACGAAGTAACGATTATAACGTCTAATTATGGAAATAAATAAAGCAAACTTTTCCCATAACAAATTATATAATAATGGTCTTTTTTTGTTGTTGGCGAACAAATGAGATAATGAAATTTCTAAACTTAGAAACAAAAGTACAACCACTATATTGTGCACCCTACAGGTATTCATGCAAGTATAACTGATTTTTCAAAATGGAGCGTTATGTGGAAGGTGGTTGAGGAAGTGGGCCTAGTGATGATACACGTGAGGGTATCAAAATTTCATAAAAACAACTTAAAAATTGCTAAACACATGAAAGTGCGGCTATCTGGAGCTTTATCGAAATCCAAATTTCCTATGGAATAAAATCTCATATTTTTATAGGGATAACAAAAACAGCCTTGACAGCGTGGAATACTTTTGATCAAATCAAGTTAAACTCCTCCAAAATGTGGCACAGCGATGTCCCGGTATAGATGGATGGATGCACACGGATGTCATGGAAAACACTGAGCTTGCATTGACTTTTTTGAAATTTCGTTCGTTTTTTGAACACTAAACGTTTGCTATTAACCGCTTCGCCAGATTTCAAAAGCAAATACCAGATCATGCTTGATCTATGGTGAAAGTCCGATTTCATGTTTATACATGTGGTAGTCAAGATGACCGTGCGCTGTATAATGTAAGCTGAACGACGACACATTTTGTAAACTGTTTTGGTGTAAAATATATGATGAAGGGAAGACAAAGTTCCCTTAATACATTATGTGTCCGCCTTATTGTTAATTTGACATAGTCTTTAAAAGTTAACTTTGAATCTTCGACTTAAAGCCACATTAACAACCTTCGTCTCACTGCTAGCCAATAAAACACATGGTAGAAAACTCGCATCACAGCTGTTGTATGTAGTGACTTGTTATATCCTATACTACGCGCGGATGTATGCACCACCCAGAAGGACTTGAGATAGATCCACCTTTTATTACAGCAAGCTTCTCTGAAATTTCGTAGACCGACATGCCCAAGGCTGTTGAAAATTGTCTGGATCGGATTAATTTTTCGACCACTTCACCTTCGCCCCATACAACACCTCATTTTCTAAAGGTCGTGTAATGAATAATTGCATTGAGAGAAATGGTGTAAGATATTTAGTGGTGAGCCGTGTCCCACTGCAATGTTCTTACTTGTCCTTAGATGAATATGACATTAGGTTATTCAAAATTATTAATAACGATTCATACGACATAGAAAAGCGTATTGTTCCACTTATCTAAGTTCTTTGTAAGTCCACGTACACGTGCAAGGTAGATTTTTGCGTTGTTAGCATTTATATATAAATCAGTTGAACAAAATTATGTATAAAAATGCTAAATACTTTCATGAACATTTTTCGCAGAATTATAAAATTTTGATTAAAGGATTGCTTTTAAAGACACAAGACATTCAAGTAGTTCTTTGTTTTTTTTTTTATTTTATTAAAGTTTTGCAAAACTTTCAATATTAAGTTTTCCCTCTTATGAATATTGCATTGTCAGTCGTTCTGTTTTGGAACATCACCACATATCGTCTACCGACAACTTTCACATGCCTTAGTAAAAATACGTGATGGATGATTCCACGAAATTCTGTTGTCTAATCTATAAAGTCCTTTAAAGGCACCTTAACAACCACAGGCAGCCGGAAAGAGAGAGAGAGAGATAGAGAGAGGGCTTAAGGCAGTCTAAAACTTCGTACATAATTTATTACTAAGTAATATTTAGAGATAATTTTTAAAGAAATTAACTATCAAACGTTATTTGACGTCTGGCTTTAGCACAGTTACTAAGGTTTAATTCACTAACCAAATGCAAATGAGTTTGGGCTTTAACAGCAGAAGATTGACCCCCTCCGCCAATCTCTCTGCAGGCGTACGGACTTTTATTGCGTTGGTCTTTACCAGTAAAATTTTTCTGAGCAGATCTTTTCAAATCGCAATCTACATTTTCCCGTAAGACGACCCCGTTAAGATTACTTTTTGATGAACTATTCTGTTGCGAGCCGTTAGATGCAATAGGCAGTTTACCTGCCCCACTTGAGCTCTGCAATTGTTGCATGTCACCACTGCTGTGGGAAAGTTGATCAAGGAAACTAGTTTGCTTTGTGATCAATGCCTTAAAAGAACTTTGACTCAACTCGTTTACGTTGTCTATGCTATTGTTTCGAGCAGAAATATTCTGTGTGCTATTGCTGCTGGCTAGTGTTGAAGACGGCTGCGATTTACATGATTTTGAATGAAGTTGAAGTTTTTCAAATTCCTCTGGGCCAATATAGCCTGAGAGACGCATGGAACGTTTAGATTCCTCAATATGTTGTTTAGCCTGGAGATAAATTTCGTCTACTGAAGCTCCCGCTGTAACTTGATACACATATCGCTTAGCTAACCTATTGAAAGGCAATTTTTATTTAAAAATTGATGGAAATCTAATGTAGAAACATTTTCATCATTTACCTCAACATCGTTTCGTTGGTACTCGTGCTAGTGTTTCTATAATATTCTTGAAATATTCGTCTGACTACTTTGGCCAGAATTGCTGCATATTCTTTAAAGTTTTCATGCTTCATGCCAATTTTTCTTTTCTCCTGCAATGCTTGAGATACAGCCCATAACAACTTTTTCTTTTGATTATCAGTTAATCCATTCACTGCGGGGGCTGTCATATCCGAGTAAGCCCTTTGCATTCTACTGTTCGCGATCAATGCGGCAGATTCCGTAGAACCGGGAGTAAAAAGCTGAAGATTGCTACCTGTGGACGAAAGACTCCCTGCGGCTAAGATGTTAGAACCGGTTGGAACATGTTGTTTTTTCGCCAAGTTGTTTGTACCAATGCAGAAGCTTTGGCTCTTGATTTTCAAAGAACGCGGTGTTAAAGCCGAAGCGTCGTTAGCTTTAAACAGTTTGCTACTGTGTACAGCTAGCTCAACGCTGTTGTCGTTGTCCTTGGCTTCTTCGTATGGATCTCGTTTACGCTTAAGCAGAGCGTCTAACTTAGCCGAATTCGGGGAAAAATACGACGCAGTTTCTCTCATGTCTCTATTGGGAGAAAATAGTAAAGCTCGTTTCGATTTTTCTACCCGATTAGCCAATTCCGGTTTAATGGTGGGAAATCTCGATACCGATGGTTTTGATTGTTTGGCTGGGCTTTGAAATAAAGCACGTTTCGAGGTCTCTCTTGATGGTCCAGGTTTAATATCATTACGGAAAAGACGCTTACGTGCTGAGGAAGTCGGGGTTTTGCGATCTATAGAAATACCAAAAATTGGACAGTTATAACAGGACTATTAAAATTTTCAATTTTCTATTTCAATTTTCAATACGACATACTTTTCTTTTTACTGCCGGGTGTTTTACGTTTAGGTGTATTTTCTTTACGCCGATTTTTCCCTTTGCTGTGAAGAGGTTTTATATTTTAGCAAAAGTAGGACAATTTTTTAAAACAAACTTACGTCTTATCAACTAAAATTTGCGGACCAATTAAAGTCTGGGATCTTTGGGAAGCGTTGGCTAAGTTAGCAGAAGAAAACACTGCCCTACGTCTGGCCAAATGACTTAAACGACTTCCAGGCGATTGACAAAGTTGCCTACGGAAGGTAAAAAAATAAAAATTGCATTATTTTCCTTCGATTTAGAGATACGAACTTACTTTATGCGGGCATTATGTCTTTTAATGTTTGAAAGGACATTTTCATAAGAAGAAGCCGTTTCTGCTCCGATGAAACGTTCCACAATAGACAAATTTAAGTACTCGTTACTTTCGGAGGCTTCGTTTAGGTTATAGCTAAATAAGAGAATAACATAATTTTTTAAGAATTGCTTCAGAATATCAAATATTCTACCTCAGACCGTGTTGCCTTACTGCCAAAACATCTTTCCAAGGCATATTCTTTGTGTCTTCCAGAGTATGTGTAGGTTTCAATAAACTTTCACACTTGTTATCCTCTGTGCTGGTGTACTCATGGGCAGTGGAATTGCAAAAAAAGTTCAAAATTTCATCTTTCTGTGTTAATATCGCTTCAAACATATCCAGCTGAGGTATAGTAATAGAAGGCGGAGGTAAAACTCCAGCCAAACATTTACGTATCCTTTTAAGAAATTCCTTTTCACGCCTGCAGTTCTCACGAAAAAGTACCTTAAAGCGTTTGCCGTTGATTTCATTGTCAACGAAACTCACATCCCCGGTCTGTTCGTCGTTAACAAAACTTGATTCTGTTGGGCAATTAAAAGAACAATTCTCTAAAGTATCATAGGCAGCGCCGAATGTTGGATTTGACTTCTCTATTCCTTCTCTTGCAGAATATTGATTATCTTTTTCCATTTCCACTTGATTGTCCACGCCGCCATTACCGTTCTCATCATCGTCGTCATCATCATCATCACCGAATAAATCAGGTGACTTTTCATTGCTATATTTTTTCAAAATGAACGATCGCGAAAATTGTTTAAATGGCTGATAGTTACTTAACTCGGAAGAAGCCGGTGCAAGTGGGTACGATCTCTGATCGCAGTGATGAGAACTACCTTTCTCACTTGCTGTTAGGCTATTTGGCAGTTGACTGATTTTACCATTAAATGACAATTGAGAATGATTTCCACTGTTCAATTTTTGCAATACTACATGTTCAGTTGAAACTACTGGCAAATCCATAGCATTGCAACTGTTTTCTCCTATTAAAGTATCGTAAAACTTGGGAAATACATATTTTCCTGAAGAAAACTTGTCAGAATCAGCGCAGTTTTCTGGCTGTTGTCGTATTTTTACCAAATGTTTAATTTGCCCAAAAGAACGCCCATCGAAACCCTCAAACGAAAACTCTTCCCCCGCCGGTATACCAAAGCGTAACTCGCACTCTTTACTTAGTGGTAGCTTGGATGCTTCCATATTGTTAGTGTTGCTTTGATTGTTAGTGATGAAATTGGAAGGAGATGAAGTCGTAACAACCGTAACTTCATTATCATACGAAGGTGGCCTTAATAAGTATGGCAAGTTTATATTTTCATCATCCAAATTTGGATAGTATTCGGATTGTTCATGAGAAGAAGGCTGTAGAGATAAACGTAGCGATTTTTATTGATAATTATATGATTATATGATTTTTTATGTATTATAACTTATCACTTACTTCACCGGATGAAGGCTCGGATTCGTAACTATTGTTAACTCTGTGAATATGTGTAGCCATAACATCAATATTTTAAATAATATCTCGGCCTAAAAAAACAAAGTAGGAACCACAATGAAACACACACTGAAAATCCTTAATAAATGATCAAAGAAAATCGGACACGCTAAAATATATATATACATATATACAATATATTTGTACACATATTCATATTTATATATATGCCTACATCTTTATAGATAGATAAATCGAATTCTATATCTCTTCATTATCGCTATTAAACTGGAAGATAAAATAAAACCATTCACAAAAGGAATCGCGAAATACTTGCTTATCTCCTTACCTTTTAACCACAGAATCTGCAGACTTTTCCACTTTTTCGTGTAGTCGATCAAAGAAAAAAATAGGCGCGCAGTCCGATAGCTTTGCTGTCAACGTTGACGTAAACACTTCTGACTTACAGCGCTGACTACGATTGAAATGTATGAATAAACATTAATCTATCGAGACAGTTTACTTGAAGTAAAATGTTTTGTAATTAAAATGTTAAATAATTAATTTTTAAAATATATCACCGATTCAATAAAATATTCTTATGCACACAGCTGAGAGTTCGTGACTAACAGAGGTGAAAAATTTAGTAACAACGTAAACAATGCTTCCTCTTCTTTATAGCAAATGCATTCATAATGTAATAAGAACTTAAGAACTACTTGAAGAATTTTGCAAATGTTGGCTCTTATTTGGAATTGTTCTCTATTTGAATTTTGACCACGTTAAAGCGGTGACATTATTTTTTGGATTTTGGCCAAAAGATATGTTTCAGTTTTCGTAAATTAAGGAGTTGGACAATTTCATTTTATTTCCAGAAAAGTATTTTATTTATAATATAGGCTTAACGCTATGGATTTCTAAACAAAATTCTTCGTTCACATTTGTTTTTAAAGAGAAAAACCAAGTTAACTGATAGTTTTGTAATTTCTTATTTAACGGATTAAAATGTTTAAAAAACGACTAGAGTAAGAGAAAAACGTAAAAAGTAATATTTTCTTCCTTTTCGGTTTTGCCTTAAATAAATAGGTGGGATTTTCAAGTAGCTTTAAGTATATAGAAAGAAAAAAAATAGAAATCTAATGTTTTTGCTTTTATAAGGTGGAATGAATACTTAAAAAAAAATACAAAATGCTGTCCAACTAAAACTATTTTTACCTACGATAATATTACCCCCAAAACTCCCCGGTTATTATTGTTCGCTTAAAGTTAACTAAACATAAATTAGGTGATGATGATGAAATACTTTTATTGACCACAAATTAAGCTGCCATCTCTGAACGAACCTGGATGAATATGTATGCCGTAAGATGAAAGTAAAAGCGATTTACCCGTAATGTTGCAGATTTCGAATTCCCGCTCACGAGTGTTATTTCTATATTATTCTTCAGTCTTCTTAATTCTTTAAATAGCAAAAATACCTTTTGAAGATTTACATAAAGATGCGACAAAAAGTTCCTCTTGCTGTTTTTGTAGAAACTATTCGAAGATGCAATGGTACGGTGTGCGGGATATTTTAATCTTCTTCAACTTTCATAACGTGCCAACGTCGTCTTAGTCATCAAAGAATAATATTTCCAATATGCGCTTTTGGACATTTTTTCGTCGCTCCTTGGACATTTTTAACAGCTCCGTAGTCACTAATTCGCCCAGCAAATGTTCAGAACTACGCTGAGGTGGAGGTGGAGTTTGTGGCACTTGGAATTTACTGAACTGATGATTTTGTTGTACATTATTCTGTTGCTGTTGTTGTTGTGGCAGTTGTTGGTATAGGTGTAAAAGAAAATCGGCATTCGAAGGGAACATATTAGAAGCTTGGTTTGAGAGTTGACTGTTGACGTTGTTGTTATTGTTGTTTTGCCGTTGTTGCAAAGCAACCGTCGACGTTGAAGCACTGATGGAACTGAAAGGATTTTCTGCGCTTTCATTTAGCACAGCCTGAGGTTGTAGCATACCGCTACTATCATCAGAATCGTCAGTGTCGTCGACAAAATGTGAGCTGACACTCATACTATTGTGGCTATTACTTAACTGTCCGTTAGTGTTATTGTTGTTGTTGTGCTGGGACGAAGCATTCATACTATTCGTACTATTATTTAGTTGAACTCTAGGTTTTTTCATGTGATAGTTGCTACTGGTGGATGAATCTAAATCTTCATTTTGTGATTCACTAAAGTTATGATTGCTGACGCCATGCTGATTTATTGCATTGGCAGAATGTGCAGAACTGGAAGAATGCGCGACCGTTTGTTGAGGTGTACTGGAATGACCTGGATTAGTTGTGCCGTTATGGTTACCACCTGGGATAGGAGAAGATAAGGGTGACTTAATAGAAGACGAAGAGGACGGCAGTCCTCCGTTTCCAACTAAATTGGTTTGCGGATTAGAAATCCCACTCAAAGCGTTATTAGTTGTGTCTCTAAAATGTTCCGTATAATTTGGTGAAGAGTCAGCCATGGCTGCTGCCACTGCAGCCGCTTGCTGTTGCATTTGTGATTGTGAGATTTGTTGTAATTGTTGCGACGCGACAGCAGCGGCAAAATCTCGAAACACTTGATCAGCTTCTATCTTTACACGATTATCATTTTCCAATGCCGAGGCCGCCACTGCTGCAGAGCTCAAGGCATTCATGGCGTGCTGTTGATCTGATTGCTGATGATAATGGTGACTGTGGCCGCCAAAATGGTTTAAATTTTTCATCGAGCTGTTCGATTTTGAATCCATATTGTAGTCATTAAAATTTGAACTGTTGGCTGAATGCGGAGAGGTCAGAAAGTTGGGTACATTACGATAAGATTTACGCGGCTGTATGTGTTGATCTAGGAATTTCATTTTTTCTAAATACGGTCGCGATAGATGCTCATATACCGGAGGATCGCCTTGCTTACGTTGTGACACATATCGCTCTCTTAAATACTTCCATCGCTTCTTACAGGTCTCCACTAAAAGTAACAAACGTATAAATATATTTAATTATAAAATAATTAATTTTTTTTAATATTTACCATCGCTACGCAATTTCATGGCAATTACTTGCCAAGCTTCGTCTTTTGTTTCGTACTTGTTACCACCACCATTACCACCATTACCGCCATTCAAATAATATTTTTGACGATTGTAGATTACCGCATGATGAGCGACCTCATCAATTAACTGTTCATCCATCATATTTGATTTCCACAATTGAAACACTGTTGCGAGCAACGCAACAAACAAGAAGAATAATTCACTTCAACACCTCACTTAATTAAATTAATTAACAATGCGGACGGGCCTCTTCTGCCGCAACTCAACAGCTTCGTATATAGCTTGCTATGCACACATCTTTTTATTGGTTAATAATTTGTGCCTTTTTGTTACTTCCTTTCTGTTACTTAAGGTAATTTAAAATGAATTTAATGTGATTCACATTAATTCAATTAATTTCTGTAAGAATTTTCTCAAAAACAACGAAACCAAAACAAATTCGATTAATATATAGCAGCGCTGCCATAGCGTTGCACTTCGCTGCAATTCTTCGCATTAATTATGTACTGCAATGTGCTTTATTTCAACAAATACAAAAATCTATTTTCGGAATTGTATTGTTTGAATAACTTCAAGTCCTTTCTTGCACTTCTGTTCGGTTTGTATTCGAAATCCATCCGCATTGACAATTCAGGATAATGCCACATTTTGAGCATAGAAAAATCAAATTTGTTACATGTTCACATGTGTTAGTTGACAATGTCGTGTCTCAAGAACAATGGCTATATTCATTTTGAGTCGAGAAAAACATGAGCTTGCTTCTCGCGCCTGAAATACCAAGCAAAAAAAATTCAAAAAGATTACATTAGGTTGGCCGGTGCCTATGCTTGCAGTTTTCTTGCTGTAAATGAAATCAAACAATTTTATTTTATTTTATTCTGTTTGGCAGTACTTTTTGGAACTAAAATGAGCTCTGAACAACATTATTTTAGTTAGTTTCTTTTTCTAAATTCTAATTACAGTTAAATTTATTTTCATGTTTTCACGTTTTCTTTTATATGTGCAAACTGTTTATTCATTAACTGAGAGAAATTGTTCATATTCTTTTCTGCTGGACAATATTATTCCGTTATGGCAATGACGCAATTCTATAGTTTATATTTTGGATGCGCGTTATATTCATTTAAAAAGTATTCGTCAGAGAGTGGTTAAAAGTTTTGTTAGTGCATTGAAAGTAAATAAAATGTATTATGTAATTTATATTTCTTAACGAAATTATAAAAAGGTACACTCCGGTAAGTTAAATTTATCAATAGCGCTAAAAAACTATAAATCAACCATTACTGGTGTCATTATATTTGAAAAATTGATATGTTTAGCACTGATGTGAAAAATATGAGATGGTTGATATTGCAATGTCAGAATAGGTTCTATACCTGTACCTGTTTAATTGGTTCTGTCATTTATTAAAAATGTCTCCATCGCATCAGATTATCGCCCAATTTCTCTTTTATCTTGCCTCTCTAAAGTATTAGAGAAGATTATGGCATCTAGATTATCTTGGTTTCTTGAGTCCAAGAACCTGACAACAAAGCAACAAGTTGGTTTCAAGCGGGGTAGAGGGTGCATCGACGCTCTGTTACATATTGATTATTTCACAAGCAAAGCAATTTCCGAACGAAATCACGTAACAATTCTCTCAATTGATTTCGAAAAAGCATTTGACAGAGTTGGTCTTCATGTCATCTTAAGACTCTTGAAATCATGGAATGTCGGACCCAAATTCTTCAACTACATCAAATCATTCATGTCGCATCGGCGGTTCAAAGTTAGAATCAACAATCATCTTTCTGATTCCTTTCCGCTAAAGAATGGCATTCCGCAAGGATCTCCTCTCTCTGTCACGCTTTTCCAGATCGCTTTCAACGAAATTAGCAAAATTCCTTGCCGTGTACCAAGAGTGGAACATTGTTTCTACGCGGACGATGTATACATTTTTACAAAAGAAAAAGACAACACGAAAGCAATCAACATCCTCGAATCTATTGCATGTGAGATCTCCACATGGGCAAACTCGTCAGGAGCTAAAATTTCTACACAAAAATCAAAAAAATGCACATTTGTCGAAAACAAATGTGCGATGCATGAAACCTACTGATGCATATTAACGACTTACCAGTACTAAATGTGCAGACGCTCCTTGTTCTCGGGCTCACGTTTTCCAGAAATTATCGTTGGAAAGCACACTGTCTTCGGTTAAAAAACTCCCTTTTAACAAGGGTAAATTTCATACAGTACGTTGCTTGGAGAAGCCATGCGCATATTAACACTGTTGCTTATCTTACGAAAATGCTTGTGTTAAGCAAGATTGACTATGCTTTGATAATTTATGGCAATAGCTGCAAATCTAATATCAACATCCTTAAACCAGTCTATCACCAAGCCTTCAGAGCAAGTTGTTATGCTTTTTGGACGGCGCCCATAAATAATATTATAATTGAAACTGGTCTCCCAACTTTAGAAAATAGACTGTTTGAGTTAAAAGCTAAACTAGTCCCTAAGCTTCTTAATTCAAACAAATCCATTCTCGGTGATGACGTAAGAAAGATTATTATTGCGAAGAAAATTCCAAAGTCACCATCTGCAATTGATCATTGTTTGTGCATCGCAAAGGAATTGAACATTCCCTTAAAAATTTCCCGCTCTTTTGATGTTAAACCTCCCTGGATTTTGAAAGACTGCTCTTTTGACATCTCACTGTCTATGCACAAGAAAGAAGATACTCCAAATTACGTCTTCAGGAATCTAATAGCTGAAAAAACCCAAGTATTGGACAGTACTGGTTGGAATCTTTTGTACACAGACGGCTCAAAATCTCCTGGGCTGCCTCCTGCTGGTGCGGTGGTAGATGCTACAGGACGGGTTCTTCTCATCCACATATTTCACGAAAGTACTTCAACTTTCATAACCGAAGCCAGAGCTATCCTTCACGCTGCCAACCTTGCCCATAAAAACAAACTCAAAACCGTCAATGTAACCGACAGTTTGTCTGTATTACAAGCTGTTCGGAATCCTTCGACTTCGAGATGGAGCACCATCAACAAATTCAGGAATATAATTACTACACCCGACGGAAAAATTAAAATGTTATGGGTACCAAGTCACATCGGTTTACTGGGAAATGAGCAGGCTGATCGAGCGGCAAAGTATGCTGCTTCTGCTCCTCTAATTATGGATGATGTCATGGAAAAGTTGGATCTTCAAAGATACATTGGAAGAAAAGTTAAAGAGAAAATTGCAGAAGGAAATTTACAATACCATCATCAACACTACTCTTGCATTAACCCTCAATTAACTCCACCTCTATTGAGAAAACCAAGATCCAAACATTCTTGAGAATTCACCTTGGTCATACAATTGCAACTCACCAATGGATCCTAAAGAAGTCTTTTTCCCCAATCTGCAGTTGTGGACAAACTCTTACTATAAAGCACATTCTCTGCGACTGCCTCAACTTTTCCTTGGCTAAAAGTATTGCATTTGGAACGATTAACCCTTTGAACATTCTACAATCAGCTTCAGAACAGAATATCAATTC